GTGTGTCACGTCCAAAACAAACCAAGGAAGAAACGGAAAACACAGCATAAACTAGATGAGAAGAACATGCAGGTGGTCAAGCACTGGAGCAGGTTGTTGAGTTTCCATCACAGACTTCCAAAACCCACCTGGACATGGTCCTGAGCAGCCTGCCCAAGGTGATCCTGCTTTGAGCAAGAGGATGAGATGATCTCCAGAGGTTCCTGCCAACTTCATTGACCACATGAATGCATGAAGAACCCTTTGCTCTATTCAGGTCTTGGGCACTAAGAAGGTTCTTGCAAGGAAGTGATGCAAGTATTCCCATTCTGTCCATGGAAATCATGGAAGTCAGCTTTATCTTCTTGTAAGAAGAATGAGAGCAAGAAGAGATTACAGGTTGGAACTAAATTTAGGGGGAGAGCAGATTCCTAGGAACAAAGAGGATTAGGAAAGCAAAGACCTGAAGCAGACACCAAACAAACGGTAACCTACACATTGACTTGCTTTGCGTTTAAATGAAAGGCTGAAATACCCATTCCAGTGCCTCACCACCCTCACAGGAAAGAACTTCTTCCTTATATCCAATCTAAACTTCCTCTGTTTCAGTTTTAACCCTTTACCCCTTGTCCTATCCCTCCAGCATCCCTATAACCCCCCTTCAGACACTGGAAGCTGCTCTGAGGTCTCCACACAGCTTCTCTTCTCCAGGCTCAACAGCCCCAATGTTCTCAGCCTGTCTCCATACAGGAGCTGCTCCAGCCCCTGATCATCCTCGTGGCCTCCTCTGGACTTGTTCCAACAGCTCCATGTCCTTTTTATGTTGAGGACACCATCATCGCTAGAGACAACCAGCCTGTTACATGCTCCTTATACACACACACACACACACACACACACACATATATATATAAAAGCAGCATCTTTAACAGCAACAGAAGCATGTGCAAAGTGACTTCCAGAGTCTTTAGTTGGCCTTTGGTAAAGACTGATGTGAAGGAAGTCCAAAATTCCTGGAGTCCTACAAGCTGTGAAAAGCCGGATTTGTTACCATAAACCCCATCGATTCCTGAACAGCATTTGCTCTAGTAAATTAGACAGGCTCTCACACCAAGAGCTTTCAACATTTCAGCTACAGCTCCATCATACTTCATGCTGAGTAGTGTAGGCATTCAAATGACCTAATTAGATGATCTTTAAAGGTCCCTTCAAACCCAAACCATTCTATGGAGTCTAAATCCCACACATAGGCCATGAAAGACCAGCTGAAGTGCCTACCACCCTATGAAGGGTTGAGGGATAAGCCAAAGAGCCCATGGCCCTAACTACCCATTCCATTAGGTGATATGAGTATCCTTATGGTAAAATCCAGTCAATAAAGGCAGCTCCAGAAAACAGGATCCCAGAAAATCATAGAACTTACTGAGAGATGGAAAGCTGAGAAAAACATCAAAATATCAGCACAAAACATTCTGGGTTTCAGAAGCAGCCAAATACTGTGCAAAACCAGTACCATATGATGTTTTGAATAGGGCCTGAGCTGGAGTAGTATCTATTGGACCTGGACTCCAAAAATGATTCAGGGCCAGGGCCATGCTGTTACACTTCAGTTCCCAATGCTTAGGAACCTCTTAATATCTTTCCTGTCCCAAAGAATTCAAAGACCCTTTTCTCTAGAAATGATGAAGTTCCCAGGTACTCTTCACCCTATTTACATCACTTCAACTTTTCACCTAAATACAGTGAAAAACGAGCAACCACCACCACAAAATCATCAGTCACCTGCATTTGCCAGTCACAGCTCTACCTGCCTCAAGGTACCAGCATTTAGTCCATTTTCCTATCTTTTTATAGCTTAAAGCCTTAGCTTAACCACGCAACCATCTTTTACGGGCAACTATATGAGATACGAGCTCACTCTATGAGCCTTTGTGCCCATTGGAGAGAAAAGACTCCAAATGACCGAAAACACAACATTCCTCGATAATCCTATTTAATTATCCTCAATCTGTCTATGGAAATTCATCAAGTTTCCACCCCTATGCCTCTATACCAGGCTAAAAGCCCCTGAAGACAATTTCTTCTTGCATCGGAACCCACAAATAACATCTTAAGGTACTTTTTGCCTAACTTCCTCTTTGATAAGCTATGTGAAGCTCTGAATTTATTATAGGATAGGTGTTGTGTTTCCACTGGAAGACACCAGTTTCACAGATTTTCAGGACAGACTTTGGGTGGAGGGGAAACTCAAAGCCCCATCAGCATGGAAGGAAGCTCTGCACCAGCTAATGTAGGCACAGGATTGATGTAAAGGTACAGCAAAATCTGCACGTTTACATCAAACTCAGGGAAAGGAGCAAGTCCTGACCCAACAGAGACACACAGGCACTAAACACACGATTTTCCAATGCAGGTTAACCTTCAATCAGCATGATTTTTCTAGTTCATTATCTTAAATTATGATCAGACTTCTCTGATTGCCAAGATGAACTCATCTGCCTTTGCAGTATACCTATGGGGTAAACCCCTTAGACTTCAGGAACTATTTACACGCTAGAGACAAGAGCATTGAAGCTAAAGTTCCCCTGACTTTTGATGTTTTTAAAGGTCTTAGGTGGCTTGTTTCTTTTTAAATCCCATCTATTTAGTCACGCACTCTGTTCAAAGGGCCTTCCCTATGCAAGATGACACAACTGGAAGTAGCTTCTGTTTAGCTATTTAACCCTGAAATCTCAACAGCTCATTTCGCCGGTGAAAGACTGAGGCTGAGAACACCTTTATCCTTTGTTTCAGTCATTCCTCTTACTTCAGTTCACTACTTCAGCATCCTGATTTGAAAACTCATGGATGTACTATCGCAGTACCCGAGCACATTTGTTACAACACTGAATTCAAAGCGACTCTTTAATGGTGTTTTACTTGCTCTGCAGTTCATCCACAGCTTACTGCTAAGTTACAAGCCTAGCACCTATTAATTCCCAGTATTGGGAACCCATTGTCACCACGGTTCACCTTTCTTCTATTCCAAGGAGGGTCTTCAAATTAACTTCAGGAAGGAAGATGCAGCTCATTAGGGAGAAGGGATATGCAAATGTCATCTTACACACTAATGGTTTATTTTTAGCAGCTCAGTGATATTTATAAGGCTGCGAGGAGTGGATACATGGCTGCAGTGAGATAAAGTAAGCATCCCAGGGGTAGGACAGGGAACAGGCAGCGCTGCCTGGAAAAGGGGGGAGATGGGCAAATGCTCCGAGTGTGTCTTCTTAGAGTTGTTCTCAAAAATCAAGGAATTAGGGGAAAGAAAATAACATCTTGACCCTGTGTTTTAGCTTATCCTGTGTAGTTTTTACTGCTAAAGGTATTTATATAGTGAAGGGCTGGAACAGACAAACTAAATCAGAGAATCTGCAAAAATCAAGCTCCATTTGGGATAGCAACGAGAAGAGTTTCAAGAATGCACTGATTACAAAAGTCCCTTCTCTAAATTCCTTATAGGACCCCTAAAGACCCCCACCATGTGCTACAGTTTTGCCAGTCTGAAAACAATTACATCTCATAGCAACAGAGAAAGCTTTCACCTTTTTAAAGGAGATTTGCTGCCTTCAAGGAACTGTCAAAACAGTTCACTGTACACGTTCATATCTTTGCTGTGAAGTCATCACTAAAGATGCAAACAAGTGTCTTGTATCATCCCTGGTGGTGCTCAAGGCCAGGCTGGACAGAGCCTTGGGTGCCATGGTTTAGTGTGAGGTGTCCCTGCCCATGGCAGGGGGGTTGGAACTGGATGATCTTAAGGTCCTTTCCAAGCCAAACCATTCTGTGATTCTATATAAAGCATCGGACTAAACTGAAACAGAATTCAACAATGTACATCATGCATTAGGAGTGTCAAAATCACCTTATGCCATTTCTTAGCATCCCCTTTTGCCTGGAGAACGTACACATTCACCTAATCCTGAACCTGTAATTTAAGGCAAAGTTTTGGGCAAAAGAGCTTAAGAAAAATCTTGCTCTACTTTATATCCTCATGGCCTTCCAGACATGTCAGACACACTCAAAACCATCATAGAATGGTTTCTGTTGGAAGGGACCTTAAAGCCCATCCAGTTCCAACCCCTGCCATGGGCAGGGACCCCTTCCACTAGAGCAGCTTGCTCCAAGCCCCTGTGTCCAACCTGCCCTTGAACACTGCCAGGGATGGGGCAGCCACAGCTTCTCTGGGCACCCTGTGCCAGCGCCTCAGCACCCTCACAGGGAAGAGCTTCTGCCTAAGAGCTCAGCTCAATCATGTTGTGCATTTGCAAAGCAGGATTCTCTTCTCCAGGCTGAACAACCCCATACGGTTGCTCATACACAGCAGGACCCCAGATGATAATGAAAGCTTGATGTAAGCCAGAAGAACTGTGTGTCATCTGTTCTGGGCTTCTCACAACTGTGTATGGAAAACTACAGCTGATGCCATAAGCTGGCATCTGCAAAGCACAACACTACCCAACCCTGCTGGCAGCAATATCCGAATTCAACTGCTTTTTGACATTCTGCAGCAGTGTGGAACTTGCAGGACTTTGGTCAGAATTTGGTCACCATTATTTGATTTAATCAAGGGTCAGAGCTTCAAAACAACTATCAACACCTAAACTGGCATACTGATAGAGTTATTCCTTTTTTACTATAGAAAGAGATATGCTAAGCTTCATTTTGTATGTTCCCTTCTATCCAGAGCACTAAGTGCTGCAGAAACCAAACCAATACTTACTCCAACATAAAGGTAACACAAAAGTAATTAGGATTGTAACCCACTATATTCTGGCATTTGCACATTACCAGCACGCTTCTCCACTATAACAAACCATGTTAATTTGGAACTAATGCTGATGGAAAAGAAAACAGAAAGGAGAAAAAAAGCGTATGAAAATCATAGGGACTTCGTTTAGAAACGACTGAAGTTAGATGAAAAAACAGCACCATCTAGGGGGTACTGCACGTTCTTACACAGCGGATACTCAGGACAAGTAAGATAAGTTGGTTTTGAGGTTTTGTATTTCTTAGTTTTGAGTTCTTCTAGTTGGAATTTAATCTTAGCTACAATATCAACAGTAAAATCACAGCTTAAAAAAAAGACTGACGCAAAAAAGCTGTATTAGACTTTGGATGAAATCTACTTACAGTAGTACTTCAGCACCAAAAAGTGGGCAGTTAGGCTCATAGATGTATATACAATTAAATGATATGTCAAAAGTCTTAAAATGCTTAGTTATTTATAATGAAATCTATACAAAACAGGTAAAAACGTGGGTTTTATATACATTTGGAGGGAAAAAAAAGTATTGTCTTCATTAGCAGACTGTATTAAAACTGGTTCTCTCCTCCCACCTGAACCCAAACCTTTCTCTGTGGCTTGTAACTATCACAAAAACCCAATGTATTGCTTCAACAAGCCGAGTCATAAGGCTAATTTCTGAAACCTAACACTGTATACTGATTTAAGCTTTTAAACTGCCAAAATATGGTCACTTTAAAAACAGCATGTAAGAGTAAAATACAGGTTTTTTACAAGCCTTGAAGCACATTTCACAGGTTCAACTTGGAAAGATGCTGAACCACATATCCCCGATTTTGAAAAACTGATTTGTAGCAAAATACATCCCCCCCCATACACACACCATGGTTTTTGTATCAGAATCAACAGACCTGCCTGTTTCACAGGAACTTCTTCAACAACTTGGCCTCACTTTAGATTTCACATTTCAATAAATAATCCAAAGATTAACCAGAGCAGATGGAGCATTTCGTGTGCTTACGGCACGAAGGAACGCCCCATACGCCGTCGTCATTCGACTTGTTGTAAAGCACTAGCAAATCCACTTTGCTACCAGTTAGTGATTTTGCTTACTTCCAAACATTCAGCAATGAGAATTTAAATCAATATAAAACTCTATTTTTAGGCTAACAAAAAAAAAAGAAACCAACCCCAAAAACCTTAACTCTAAGTGAGCACAAGTGCAAGAAAGCAAACCAATTCCAAAATTCCTGGGGCTTTTCCAGCACTGTCAGAGACACGTTTTCTCTCCCATGCTATTTAAAAATACAAATTTTTATTAAACATTCTTTTTTTCTCTTCTGATGGTGCTTTGCTCAACAGCTAACAAAAAAGAAAAAAACCACAGCAAAGTAACAAATCCCTTTTTACTGAAGGCTGTTTCAGTATCTGGGGCTTCAATAGCACGAGCTGTAGAATTCGCTGCAGATCTGCTTTTTAACAGGAGTACATTCCACTGTCACAGGTTTACTGAATCTCAGTGACTACATCATGGTTTTTCTTCCTTTTTTTTTTGTTTTTTGTTCTTTTCCTTTTTGGAAACAATTTGTAAGATGCAGCTTTTGCAATACCGTCTTGTTAAAACACACTGATGCTTCAAGGGTCCAATGAACAACTCTAATAGGCAAAGTGCTCTAAGACATCACAATACAAGGGCATCTTGGATACTCAAAAATCCCAAGATATTATAAAGTGCACTCCAGTGTCCCAATTCCTTAGGATTGTTCAGCAGAACTTCGAGAGGGGCTGGGCTCAGTGCCGTCCTCAGTGCTACTGTCCACATCTTGCTCCATCACTGTCTCCTCATCATCGAGGCGCTGACTGGTGAAGTTGTTGAGCTCCAGGAGCCCGCTGGGTTCCACTACCACATTGGAGCTGGAGTGACAAGGGATGGAATAGTGAGGGATGGCCTGAAAGAAAGAAAAGATTTCAGTTTTAACATGTGGGGTTTTGGCAGGTAAAGACATCTATGCAAGCGGTGGATATTTGGTTTCCAAGAGCAGTTTTCTCTAGCTAAGGCCCACTGCATGTTACATTAGCTAATGCTTCAAAGCACCCTTTCACCAGATTAGGTTGTAAAAGATAAGATTTGAATAATCTTACTCTTAGGGCATTCATCCTGGCTTTAGATCTTCACCAAAGCTCTGCAACAGCATAACCAACAGCTACACCAATGCTCACCATCCATCATTCCTCAAATGCAAAGCACAGATAATACTTTCCTTGGCCTTATCTTGCTCAGACAAGACATTCAAATGTAAGGACTAGCTATGGTTTCTGTATACAACACAACACAAGCTCTGGCCCTGCTGACAGCTGCAGCAACACAGACGCTGAGGAAGCACAACACATCTAAGCTATTTATTTCTACTTTGGCTTTCATGGGGTGTAAAAGCTAAATCTACAACTCTATACAACTAAAATCCTGAGCAGTATTTCACTGTAGAAACAGCTCGTAGCATGCCACAATGCTAAATAATACAGATTTCCAAAATACACAGATTTGAAGTAAAACAGAAATCTACCTTTGTCTATTTAGGGAAATGAGGCCTAAAAATGAGTACAAAAGCGATGATTTCTACAAAAGCCAAGTTCACTGCAATGAAGGTTTTACAAAGTAGCATGAAAACTTTGAACGCTCTGCACACAAATTTCCCACATTAGAGGCATTTCCACTGTAACACAAATATGAGACAGAATAAAACCATTTCAATCCACGCTGCCATTCCTGTGAACATCCAACTTGTCTATGACGATTCACATTATACCTCTACGAGCCCTCGGATGACTTAAATACTTGCTTGGTTGACATTCAGACCACGTATTCCATCATAAAACATCATATTTAAGGCAGCAGAAGCAATGAAAGTATCAATCATTAGTCAGGCAATGACTCAAAGCATCAGGCTGAAGATCAATAGCCATTTTATCTCAGAAGTGGCAAGAATGGCTTTAAGTTAACAAGTTTTCTTCTGAATCCAGATCTTATTTGGTAAACTTTCCAGGTAAGTAGAACCTCACTGTATTTTTAATGATAACATTTAACAGATGCTATAAAAACCTCTAGATCCATAACAAGTATTGAAGGTCACATTTTTAAGCATGTCAAATAAAAGTACTTTGTAAAATGAGACGAGCTTGGGTTGTTTTCTTAACAGAAAAGTAAGACACTGACCACACAGTGAATACAGGGATTGAGAAACTCAAGCTCCGTTTCAGAGCTACACACTGATGTAGCAACTATTACAAGCATGAAGAATAGAAAAAGAACCAAAAACTGCAGAAGGAAAACAAAAATAACCCAGCATCTTTCGGTTGTTATCATCACAGTAGATACGAGTTTGCTCTGCTCAACCTTTGCGTTATTTGCTCTGGCCCTCTCTTACCTGGATAACGATTTCTGACGAAGTCTCTTCAGCTTTCTTTTGTGATATATCCTGAATGTGTATAAACTGGTTTGTTGGAGGCATTCCTTGTGCATCGAGTTTCCTCTCTGTTACAGTGGGACCAACAGCAGGAGGACTTGAGCTGGATTCTGTACGCGTCTGTTGCTCGGGGATGGAAGTTGCCGTCATCCCCACTGCAGTGACCCTCGGCCCCTGGGTACAAGGTGACGACTCTCCTTCGCTAGCGAGTTTACTAGTGGACATGGCCTTGTCTGGGGGATCCACTACCGTCTGTTCTATGTCTGTATCAATCTGAGCTTCCACCATAGACACTCTCACAATATCTGTTACTGCTGTCTTCTCGGATGCCTGCATGGGAAATAGGTTGGTAACCGGCAACGCCAGTTTGGGCACAGAACTGCCACCTGCTACCTTTGAAACAGAAGGAGGCTGATGCCCCTCAAAAGTTATCTTTGGAACAGTGGATCCTTGCGTTATAATTGGATGCTGCACCTGAAAATCAAATTTTGGTTGTGCATGTTACAGCTAATTTAGATTTTTAAGTATTATCATCGAAAATAATCTAATCAATATTCCAAAGGACAGTATGGCACAAACAACATACTTGCTATTAGGAAGACAGTTGAAACTCAGTGTTTTAACAAAGGAATTAGCAATGATATGGTAACAGTTAATTGAAGCCTGGGGGGACAAAAAGCAGCTTTTTAGGCTGCCAGGTAAGGATTGTAGCAGTATAATACCACAGCAGCTTCGTTTTCCTTTGGGATTTACATCCCCATGTGTTTGTTAGCCCTCTTGGTTCACATGTATTCCTGAAAGGGCCAAGAAAAAATAACCACTTTTCTAGAGTTAAAATATGTGTTTTTATCCTCTACTTTTCTCAGTCTTTACATTTTCCCTTCCCAAAGAAAAACCAAATTACTCCTGTAAATGAAAGCCACTTCACGTCACTTCAGGAAGATGTAAACTACAAAGGAAGACGTACAATGGAGAGCCTTTGGAGACTGCAGTGTGTCCACCTTTATTTCCAGAGAAATAAAAAGTGCTACGGGAATGGAAATTTAACGTGTCAAGATCTTAAAAATTCAAAGGAAATAACTTAGGGACAAATTCCATGCACCAATGGTGGCAGAAATCCATCAAAACTGTCCAACAAAACACTTTTTGTGAGCTCTACGGATTTTTTGGTTTCCCCTAGAACATGTGCTTCTCTTTCCTAGTGTCAACCTTCTGATGGGGTCATTAACACCAGCGGAATGAGGAGTTCTCTCTCTTTGCCAGGACAAAAACACTGCTACAGCGACAGGGTTGGTGTTTTTTGGTGGGTTTGGTTTTTTTGCCTTGAACAGTGACGTGTATTTTTGCATGCTATCAATATTCCGTTACCTGGCTTGCTGGCTGTTTCTCTGAAGAGGCAGGTAGCTGCATTTGACTCTGGGGGGGCTGGGGTTGCACGTAGATTTTTTGTGCCGTTGGTGCCTGTTGCAGTTTGGGCAGTTGCTGTGTGGTTTTTACTGCCAGCACCTGTACTACAGTTTGCTGTGGCTGGGCCACTAAGGTAGGGAGTTGCCTTTCTTTGGCCATCATGTGGTGGGGGGGGTGCTGTGCATCTGGTTTGGTCTGTGCTTGCTCTTGCTGCAGGGGGGTTAGCTTTTGATGCCTTATAGAAAGCTGGGGCATTTGTGGGAGTTTGTGCTGGATGGGATCGGCCTGCAGGTGGATTGTCTGCTTCTGCTTAGTCTGGAAACACTGCAGGGTTTTCACTTGCAGTTGAGTCTGTTCCAGCTGTGGCTGACTCAGTTTTTGCTGGTTTTGTGTCTGCGATTGTGTCAGGGCAGATCTGTAAAACAGGCCAGTCTGAGGATCTAAGGTGTCCATCTCTTCCACTTCTCCTTCCTCAGTTCCAAGTTGTTCACTGTGTTTGGTAAATGCAGTGTGACTGCTTAAGGCCTGAAGAAGAAGTTAAGAGCAAGTTAGTAAAGAGAAATATAAGAATACATAAAAATCATGTTTAGTGTTTCAACTGGACTACTTGACCTTATTTTACCATTAGACCCCCAATTCATGTATAAAAAGATGCCCTTACATGGAGATTCTACAATTCAGAAGCAACTGATAGCCATTTTTATCATGTTAAAGTGTGGTACGTCTCTGCATAACTAATCCTCAGTGGAGATTATGAAGCCCTCACACGTGTCAGACTAAGGTTCAAAGCCCCTAATGTTGCATGCAGTTGGATATGAAACAAGAGAAACCTAAATCTCCCCTGTTTAAGTTTGATCCCATCACCCCTTGTCCTGTCACTACAGGTCCTGATGAAGAGTCCCTCTCCAGGATCCTTGTAGCCCCCTTCAGATCCTGGAAGCTGCTATGAGGTCTCCATGTAGCTTCTCTTCTCTAGGCTGAACAGCCCCAATGTCCACAGCCTGCTGACTTAATGGTCTCAGTCTCATTAACTGCTTCCCTTTTACCCCACAACCCTCACCATAAAAACAAGTAATATTAAAATGAAGTTATTAATTCACCCATCCACTTAGCATTTTCAGTGGCAGCAACATGACACATTCATTCAGAACAAGCCCAGATCTATATCATTCACACATGCTACTGCTGCTTATAGAGTGCTGGGAAAAGGAAGGGTACAACCTGCTGCATGATATGGGTAATTGCGCCCGTGGAAGATGCAGGGATAGATTTCACCACAACAGAAGTCTGCGTTGCTGTCTGCGACTGAGCCACATGCTGCAGGAGAGTCCTCTGGGGCTGAGATGACTGTTGGTGGGGCTGGGACCGATGGCTGACTGAAAGTAAAGAGGTCAGTGGCACTTCTCCAGAGCTAACTGCTGTAACTTCAATGATTTGCTTTGCATTTAAGCTTCAACTGAAAGCATATGAGTGAAATAAGGATCTGAGCATGAAAACCATCTTTCATTGTATCCTAGCTTCAGCCTTCAAGTGTAGATCTATTCTGAGAAGCATCATAAAGCAGCAACTCTGAGGCTTTGCTTTTGTCTGTTACCTAAGTGCCCACATTCGATCCGAACCTTTGGCCTCCCTCTCCTAGCACACTGACTTTGCAAGCAGAATGCATACTTGATTTTTCAGTTGGGTTCTTTATACAGCACCAGCATAACTGTAGAGAGCACGAGTTATTCTGTGGTTCGTATGCTGCTAAAAGCACCTGCGCAATTGACTGCGATAAAGAACAGCAAGCCTTGCTCACTGGATTTCTATCACTGATAAACTGCAAGAAAGACTCTCCAGAGCACAGGCTGAATTGGAATGATTAGCAATTGGGAAATATTTGGATCTTGTGAAAGTCAGTGAGGCTTGTCACAAATCACAGACCAAAAAACTGAGACCTTGCCATGGGTCTATGGCACCTTTTAGAACAGATCATAGAACCACAGAATTGTTTGGGTTGGAAAGGACCCTAAGCTCATCCAGTTCCAGCCCCCTGCCGTGGGCAGGGACACCTCACACTAAACCATGGCACCCAAGGCTCTGTCCAGCCCGGCCTTGAACACTGCCAGGGATGGAGCATTCACAGCTTCCCTGGGCAACCCATTCCAGTGCCTCAGCACCCTCACAGTAAAGAACTTCTTCCTCCTTATATCCAACCTAAACTTCCCCTGTTCCAGTTTGAACCCAGCATGAGTTACGGAGCTGTGGTGATGGCTCTGTAGTTAAATAGTGGATTGACAGAGAAGTGATCTTCTGCTGAGGAAAAAACCAACCCAACACCACAACATGGATATTGATAATTGATATTACAGTCACTGATAAGACATGAATCCAAATACTTGATGCCTGTCCATACTAGTATGGAGATATTTGCTTTAAGTTTTTAGTGACAAAATAGTAACTGCAGGAGAACAAGCAAAGTTTAAATTCAATTGTAACACACTTAAAGTTAAAAAGCTTCCAGTGACCTTTCTGGAAATTAGAAGAAAGGTCATATTTTGAATTAAGATGGTAATTTTACTATGCCACTCCCTAAAGGAGGTGGATTAGATCAGCACCGGCCTGCATGCTGTGCCAGATCAGTTACGGATATCCCCCAACAGCTCCTGCACAATTAAAACCTTCATTTAAAAGTAAAGTTTCTAACCTATATGGTTGTGTAGATACTCTTCCGAATGTGAACCAATACAGTGTTGTCTTCCTGAGTCTGTAGACAGAAAACGGTGACACTAAGATGTGGGAAGTGCTTCCTTCATCTCACAAGGAAGCACATGCTGAATCCCAGCTCCCATAGAGATTAAAGGGTGCCTCATCCTTCAGTTGAGGTGCATGCAGATTTCATGACAGATTATAGACTGTTGGCTATCTTACTACTCAACCTTTAGCAGAAAATACGGCTACATGGATTACTGAATCCTTAGAAGCACGAATTAAAGCAAAGAGAAACACTGAGTTACCTGCAGCGTGCACAGAAACTGGGGGAAGAGACAAAATTAAGAGCAAACCAACCAGTTTTATGGTGTAGAAGAAACTGCTGCAAGTCAAATCACAGCAGCCTGAGTTTCTTTAGTAGCATCCTGTAGATCAAGTCAAGGTTTATAAAAATCCCAGTATTGAAAGGAGTAACCACAGCTCCAGGCAATTCTCAGCTTCTGTACTTTGTACAGCTTCTAAGCTGCAGAAAAGGACTCAAGTCTACACGGACACCAAATGTCATTTCCATCCTCCCTGCAAAGGGCCCTATTTTACACCAGCAGCAAAAACTGGAACCTTGAACAGCAGCTCAGTGCACAGTATCTGCGTCAGGGAAGGTAACTGTTAACTGGAGATTGCTTTAACACTCCTTATTGTCCTTTTCAGTTTGTTTTAAATGAGATCCCAGGGAGCACAACCCAAACATTGAAAACTGAAGATAGAGTAAGTGTTATTTAGAAGAATAACAATAACATCCTCTCACGCTCCAATTTCACACAAATTTAGACCATACAAGGGATGGAAACGAGCGGAGGAGGCAAACAAAGAGTGTAAATATCAGACTAGACATTTACCACAAAACCCCTGGAATTACGGATCTGTACTTATGCAATTTAACACTATCAAGTTTTATTGCTCTCTGCCAGTGTGCATATTCTACACACTTTTACTTTCATTTTCCAAATAAAGTAAGGCAAACAATAACACGGACTTAAGAAATGAAAATGGAAAACAGGAAGTTTAACCCTCTCATCTATGTATGGGAAGTGGCTCACCTCATGTTCTGGGGTAGCAGGGAACAACAGAGCCAAGAGTCAAGTTAAGAGCTGAATCTCACCTGTAATTTCAACTTCAATAGTTACTTGCTTAAAGAGTGCAAATTTATCAGTTCAAAGTCTTCTGGCAAATAATGGAATCAGAGACTGGTTTGGGTTGGAAGGGACCTTAAAGCTCATCCAGTCCCAACCCCTGCCACGGGCAGGGACCCCTTCCACTAGAGCAGCTTGCTCCAAGCCCCTGTGTCCAACCTGGCCTTGAACACTGCCAGGGATGGGGCAGCCACAGCTTCTCTGGGCACCCTGTGCCAGCGCCTCAGCACCCTCACAGGGAAGAGCTTCTGCCTGAGATCTAACCTAAACCTCCCATTTCAGTTTGACCCCATTATCCTTTGTCCTATCTTCACAATGAAGAAACTGGGGACTACATTAGCATGCTAAATGCACACTTGTCTGAAAAACTCACTTAGTCATGGTAAGCAAGTAACAATTTGCAAGCATGGGTTAAACTAACCCAAAGCCTGACTCCTTGATATGTACGGAAAACAGCATACAGTTACTGTAACTGCATTTTCTACTTTTTCCTTACTAGGCATTTTCCTTAAGGACAAGTGGGACAGCCTCTCCTCTCCATCTGATCATGGGACACAACTGGGATATCCTTAACTGAAACAACCTTTTGTTTCAGTTAGAAGCATTCTCCACAATATCCCTGAGCAGATGCAAGCTCAGTCCCCTGCACAGGGTCTCAAAAGTGGAAGAAAAGACTCATGTCCCCTACAGCAAATCACAGCAAAAATGAAACTCATTGTAAGAAAACTCCCAAATTAAGTGCCCACACTTCAACTGCAAACCCACCACCACCTTAGTCACTTACCAGTTGTGATATATTCAGCAACTAATTCCGACTCTACTACAGCAATTGAAGGGCTTTCTGGAGAATGCCTCTTTTCTTGGGACATCTGGATTGGGACAGCCATTTGGCTCAAGTCAATGGTAGGCTGCCTTGGCTTCGATTCTATCTTTTCCTTCACTGCTTTGGAAGAAAACATATAATAAACCTCCAATATACAAACCCCCATAAATAAACCTCCAATATAAATGTCAAATCTCAATTAAATAGATGGTGAACGTTATACTAGATTCAAACTGTTACAGGATAAGAAGAAAGGAATCAAGCTGATTCAAGATAGGTGCTTTTCAATTACAAAACCTATTACAAACTGCTGCTTAAACAAGTAATAAGCTTTGGAGTTATCCTAAACAACCACATGGGTTTTCACACCTGTGGTCTGCTGAAGTTCCAGTAATGCTTTTATTGTGGAAGTAGCTGACTGAGATTCACTGGATACATCCTGGTAGATGATTGTAGGGCTTGTGTCCACAGCAATTTCATGTTCCGACCAATCTTGACTTCTTGAAGCAATCACATGGACAACAGGCTGAGAATCTGTTTGTGAAAGAACAAAGGCATGTCAAGTCATCACAGAATCATTTTAGATTGGAGGTCTCCTGTCCAGCGTCTTGATATGAAGTAGGGCTATAGGTCAAAATTAGACCAAGTTACTCATTATCCATAGGAGTTTGAACACTGTCAAGGATGCATACACTCATTATGCAACACTTTAGCTTATTACAATTGACTTGAAGTAAAATACTGCTCATGTTATGAACAAAAAAGAAAAGAGATCCTATATCCTTATTGTTTGTAAAAGCTTTGCCTTGAACAACCAAAGTTCAGCAGGTTTCTTTGTACATTGAATTTGCCTTGGATTGAACTCTTACACAGACCGTTTTAACATTCAGGTAATGGACAAGTATTCAGTATTCTGAATTAACAGCTCCTCAATTTTGATAAGTTTGTTCAATCTTCAATTTTTCTCTTTAATTTACTTAAAATAGCATTATAGACCAATATCACAGAATTATACAGAAAAGCTGACTGAAAGGCATTTAAGTACACACATTTCACAGAGACATTTGCTTTTAGCTGATGCAGTGATACACCCTATGGTCACTCCCGAGCAAAGGCTGGGTGTTATTTATGTCCTATTATTTATGCTTCTCTATCACACAAAGAGCTACATCTGTACTATGGCTTGCAGCTACGGCAGCATCCCCGCCATGATTGCATGTCTGATACATGTCATGATGCACATATATGTGCCTATAAAAGGACCACAGTTTATGTTGGTTCACATGACAGCTTTCAGTCATTAAGTGGAGAGATGCTTCCATACACTTAGGAAAGAGGTGGCTGCCAAAACCCAAACCATAACCTCTACACTGCCTGTTTCTGGGAGACTCCCCAGAAAGAGGGAACAGGCTGCAGGTCACAAGCATTGTAACAGCCCTGCAAGACACCATTATCTTCACTTTTCACATATGAAAGGGAGGCATTTAGTAAGTAGCTTGTAAGAGGCAAATAAAGCCATAAGGGAAATGACACCCACTGGTAACAGACTGAGTGAAAACCTATGTTAAAAGGAGACAGGGTGAGGAATTACCTTAGATTTCCACCTTCATTTAAAAATTAAATATGGATGTTTAAATTCCACCTAGGCTAGTGGAAGGTGTCCCTGCCTATAGCAGAGGGTTGGTACTAATGTCTTTAAGGTCCCTTCCAACCCAAACCACTCACTATATGAAAGTAGCTAGGATGCTTGGGAGGCAGTCCATTAGTGACACTAATACACACCTTGGGAGCTCTGGGAGGACTCTGTAGAGGAAGAGCTGCTCTCAGTGTAGGTTTGTGGTTCTTCTTTTACTTCTGGGAGAGAGGAGTTTCCTGTCTCTGCCACCCTTGATGCCTGTTGTAACGTTTCTGTCACCAACTGCCTAGTTTGTTCGCTCACCACTGTTGCTTGAAACGTCACTGGCTTTGGTTTTATGAGAACCTAATCAGAAAGACAAGCTTTGTGTACGGTAACAGCACTCAAGAAAACAGATCTGAGCAATCACAGTATGTACAAGACCTACGTAATATTACCTAATTTACTGAAAGAGTCGACCTGTAAATTCAGCAGCTCTGATTATTAAGCCACAAAGCCCAAATAAATGGCAATGCACAAGAACTTACTTCTCATTCAGTATTTTGGAGTACTTAACACAATAAACCACCAAGCAGGTGGATACAACTACGGCGTGACAGGAGAAAGCTACACAAGTGAGCTGGAACATGCATTGCACTAGTAAGGACAAGCACCTCTTCTGCAGCCCACAGTAAAGAGAGTCTTGAACAACCAAGACACGCAAAGTATTATAACTGATAAAAGTTTAGTTCTTTTAAATACTAAGTGCAACCAGAGAACAAGCTGAAACTGAAAGCATCCAGAAATAAGGCAGATTCCCTACATACAGCCCCAGCAATGACACAGGGTTGCAGGGTAAACCTGAACATATATTAAATAGAAAATAACTTCAATAAAACCTCAGCTTTTATGGATGATCTACGTCCAGACTCTGTGTCTTTATTTCTCACCATCTAGCCATTAGCTGTAAGTCTTAAACAGGCACCTAGAGCCATGACCTGACAGTTTCAGCTACGTAGAAGTCTTAGTAACTCCTTCTGGCTTGCTCTAGGCCTCCAGAAAAAGCTAACAAATGCAAAAGCTATGCTCAAGTATCAAGGCCACCTCATTACACCCCTAAATCTCATTCCCCATAGACACATATTAATCCTGTAACATTATGTGGCAACACAATGAAAAAGTATTTACTTCCCATTAAATTTTAGGGGTACATTTCAAGACAGAAATGGGTCCTCACTGTACCTGCGTTTTCCCTTGCTGACCATAAACAATTTTAGTTGGGATGATTTTGGTGGCTGGCTGGACCGTGGACCCTATTCCTTTTGGCTGTGTAACAATCATTTTTGTGATGGGTCTTGTGGCAGTGATGATAGCAGGTTTTGCTCCTGCTGGCACTGCCTGAATAGTTTTTTCCCCCTGTAGAGAAGTCAAAGTTTACAGGTTAACTTAGTGAAATTCTTCAGAGAGACCCACTGCTCTAAGAAATACAGTTATGGGTGAGTGTGTGCACCATGACATCAACCTGCTGCTGCCTATATATATAAATAACCTTACACCTTTGAATGGAAAAAGCTACCAAAATCCCCTTTTCCATTACTTTACCTTTTGAGCAGCTCTGAAGGGGTGAACAAAAAGTGGTAACTAAAAGACATTGACAAGTGTTTTGAAGTCGCTTCAAAGAATTCAACCTAAGTTGGAACTTCCCTCAAATCCTTGTCAAATAAACCCCTTACTTCTATTAACACTAACTTTGTTAAGACATCTACAAAACTTGAATTGAGATTCTGAAAAGAAGTTCTTTAAATATAGATCTTTGTCTTATTGTCATGGACTTTATTTTCCAGCTAAAAAGTTCATTTAAAAGATAGATTTACAGCTGTTTCACAGGAAACATTTGGCTTTAGAATAGTGCTGACTATGAGTAGGCTCCTGATAGCTTAAGAGCAGCAAAGACATCGAGCATGCTTGGTTTTAGCTCTGCACAGTAACAACCCAGATGAGGAACAACATTAGTTGCCAGTTCTCCCACTATTCCTTCAAATTCCCATCAGGTAGCTGGAAATGCCAAGAACCATACTTGTTCCAGCAATACCAGCGCATTGTGAGGGTTCTTACTGTGTAACATCACAAGGTTTCCACTTGTGTGAAAACACAGCTTTAAGTTTTGTAAATAGGGAAGTTTAAAGTCTTCTAAAAGAATCCCAAAAGGTTTAAAAGAACCCTCTCTATTCAGCTCTGCTACAAGGAGACTAAAAAATTGCATGATTAATGCATTAAGCCTCACATTTCTACCTAGGAGCATAAAGCACATTCATCATCTTTATTTACTAACATAGGTAAACCCAGTTGAAGCTGGAAACTTGATTTTGTTCTTAGTATACACCAGGTTATCAAATATATCATTTAACAGTACATAATACTCAGGTACAGAGTGTTAAACACCACAGAAATTGAAAGGTGGTACTGTGAAGGGACAGTTTATTTCTGCTCTTTACATCCCAAATACAAACGATTGGAGATGCAAGTTTATAACACAGAGGACCATGGTTCTCACTAGAGCACAAACAGGGTAAGATTCTAGTGATTTTCTTCCACTTAATCCTTTCAGCATTACAAAACCTTTTAACCATGGAAAAAGGGCAAATTTGAGAAAGTTGTTTTCCTTTAGGAACATTTCCAGTTTGCTTTAAGCATCTTTCAGATCCTGCAAAACATACTTGCTTTCCAAACATCCTTGACATCAAGGCATGCTGTATCTGGTAAAGAGCTCATGCACAGTTTGCTTTTAATAAGGACTTTAGCAGAATGAATGCAGCAGCCACCACACAGCCTGTCACTTAGCTATCAATCTGAGACTTGAAACTCTTAACTTACCCCAGCATTCAATAGCGTTGTGACAACATTTTTGCCTGGAAGCCCTTGAATTGTAGTTCCTTTGCCAGTAGTCTTTTGCACAACGATCACGTTGGGCTTGGATGTCATTGGAATTGTAGTGATTTTGGTCGTAGTTCCTAAAGTTTTGTGGGGATAAAAACCAACGCTCAATTTATCACATATACATTTCCTCCCACTGTAGGGGTTGATGAGTTATATAGGAATCGTATTTAAATCTGACAGCACAACAAAAAAAGGGCATTATCTGAAAAGGGAATTTATGTCACCCAACTCAATATATAAAGATGAGATACCCACTCTACAAGTCCTTCACCTACAGTAAAAACAGGCATGCCCAGGACAGAGTAATTCATTCTGCATAAGGACAGTCAGCCCCTTCTCACAAATTACAGAGCAAACTAACATGTCTAACTTCTCAAAGGCTAGAGTTAGGAGGGGGGATAAGGACACCACTAATACTCAACTCAAGGTCCTATTTGCACAGACAAATATTCTTCTACAGATAACCTCTGTAGAAGAATCTACGTACCAAGAACGTATCTTGTAGTCAAGAGAGATACCAGCTCTTTCTGGCACTGAACTGCTGTAATACAAGTGATAAGTAGCGGATTGAAAGAAGGAAAAAGAAGAAAAATATGCTATTGGTTTACAATCAATTCTTAAAAGCTGAATTTAGAAGTGGGGGGATTTTGGTTTTGAAGAGCTGTGTTGGCTGCTTCTGTGCCTCTCCCAGTATTTCATTAGTTCCATTCCCTGTATCAGGTTTTTATTTACCTGCAGTGCAGGTAATTTGGTCAGCTCTCCTACAAGGGTACCTACACTGATATGCAAGACATTGGTGTTATCAAACTGCCATTTCAGTATCTATTCAAACAGCTTCTCATCCACACTTTCCACTTCCTCCTTCAAGAAAGTACCACTCGCTTATAGCAGAGCTGCAAACCCAATGTCTCCCTTCACTATCTCCCACCCATTAGTCATGCCTGTAGGTACTTCACTACGTATTTCAGATTAATAATGCTACTAATTCTGGGAAAAGGAAGATATGCTGAGATGAGATTATGATTTACTTCATTCTAGTGACTTCAGAGGTATCTAAAGACTGCTCCTTTAGCAAAAAAATAACTCCAAAGCAAAAGAAAGATAAAAAAAACCCAACACTCCCCACCCCCTCAAAACCAACCACAAAGCAACAACAAAAAGGCATTCTTTTAAAACTGGTAATGGCTTAGAACAATCATTATTATCCTTATCTGGACCCATTAGGGGTTTCCCTGCATTAGCTGCTGGTTAGGAGAATACTACTTGCATTTGTGTTTAAACTCACTAGTAGATCTAGAAATCTTCTTAGTAACTCATCACAGCCTCAACAGGCTAAAAAAGTCACTTGTTCCCAAAGAAGCTACTGCATCAGCCCTAAATATCATTGTACAGGAATCGACACCTGAAAAACTGATGTTCCTCTACCAGTCTACACCCCAGAGTGGGTTTACTGGACACCTTCTAGTGACAGGAGCTGGCTGCTGTCATGTCTTTGCTAAATGCCAACAATAGGATCTTCGAGTAATTTAAAGATACTACTAGACAGGATGAACAGACCCAGCAGATCTTGCTGTATATGTGTAGCTTGATAGGAAATTCAGCATTAGGTCTGCTTTAACTCTGCTGATGTTCAAGACAGATACTAAGAAATTGTGACTGATGCAGGTGTGCTTACTCCTGGTCCTAAAGAGATCCTATGTTTAGAGGTTATACTCACAGAGAGCATCAAGGCTGGCCATCAGACTAACACAGATAAGCAGCAGGGTCTGAATGAGGCTGGGAGTTTTAAGTTAGAACAGGCTGACACTGATAGAAGATCAAGGTGAGGTGAAGACTGCACAGCAGAATTTAACATACACAGGTCACTTTTATTCTACCTCTTTGGATGTGCAGCGGAGTAGAAAAGGGCAGAATCCAGATTATAAAATGCTTTAAACTGGGGCAAGCATGCTTTCTGCCTAATAACAGAAGGCAATATAATAGTTCCCCTTCCCCACATTTCCCTTTTCCTCCCAGGCTTCCCTCACATTAGATGTTTACTTCTTAAACACAAAAAATACTGCAATCTTTAAGAACACTTCACCTCTGTAACTTCTACCCATTACCTTCTTCATCCTCAGCTATTTGTCTTCTGAACTAACTTCTTCTCCAGTAAAGGTCCTAATAATTATTTAAGCAAATAACTCACAGAAAAGCCCTGAACAATAAGAGCAAGTCTAAAGGTACTGTTGAAGTAAGCCTTAATATCAAAGTATGACCTACCAGAAACAATATTACTGCTGATAATCTTCCCTCCCAGCGTAGCCAGTGATTTTGGCACTACAGTAATGATGCTGCCACTTGTAGTTTTCACATAAGTAGCAGCCCCTGGAGTTCCAGCCATCCGAGCCCCTATCGAGGGGCTAACTGCTGGCCGTGTATATGTTGCTTGAGTTCCTGTTTTGAAGAGAGAACAAGGAAGATCACCGTTAGAACATGATGATGATAGAACACGATCTACTAGTATTTGTGGAAAAGTTAGTCAGTCTGCGGCAAAGTAAATTAGCTGAGAGACAAAAAAGCATCAGATTTTATTCAAAGAAACCCCACACTGCAATTTATAACTAGTCTTTACCGTTCTAGTATTTTTTAAACCTATTTTTTCCCAAACGTTCCACGACTGCTATATTTTAATTCACATCCTTATGCCTAAGATTTCAGCTTGCAGCAGGCGTTTAGATTCTGCCTGTATGTTTGCCACTTGCTCCCTTAGGTGCTCAAGAGTTTGGTATCTGATGACAGTACCAGAACTGATCCCTCCCTCTTTTCAAAGACACCTTTACTCTCATTTCTCCTATATGACAAATCCGTTTTATAAAGAGCACCACCAGTAACTGGTCTAAATATCACTCTAGAAGAAACTTATTATTTACAATGATAATGCAGTTATATAGATTTAACCTTTAGCAGTACAAAAGAAACCTCCTGACATGTTACAAATGCTGGGTTTTCAGACCTACTCCTTCTCAGAAGGAAAACAGAAATGGGTTCATATAGAAAACTTGCTCAGAATAAAACAAGTCAACAACTACAAGAAGACTAATTCCATTCTGCTTGTACTACTGCAGGTAGTGCACTATAGACCTTGATGGCTAAAGTTCACAGAACAAACTGGTTTGTTACAACAAGAAAGCCATCTGCTCAAATGGAACGGAGCACAGTACAGTTTTACCAGCAAAATGAACTGCAAAGCTGCTGTGTTTTTCATGCACTTAAATGTTTTTGTGAAGTACCTCAAAAGTTTAAATGGAAAAGCATTAGTTACTATTCTCAACCCATGCTAAAAGATCAGGAAGGTAGTTTTCTGAAAACAGGATAAAGTCACTTTTCAAGCTGTCCTCATACAAGTCTGCATTATTTCTGACCTTTAATCAGTAAGAAAACACAAATACAATTAGATCTACATTAAAAACACTGGGAGTTTCAAATTCAATTTACTGGCCTTTTTATAAGGTCACTGCAGGTCTATGAGCAAGTCACCTGTCTGTTAAAGTCCATCTATGTAAAGCAGCAATGATGCTGTCTGCTTGAGGTACGTAAAAAATACAAATCAACTACATAAAGTGCTACACAAGTGCAAAGTATCAGCGTAAGTCACAAGAAAACTTCCTTTAAAACAAACCCAGTGGGGAAGGAACGATCATGTTTTTGTGTACTAATTCAAAAGTATCCTAAAAGGAATAAAAGAGCCTTCAGTGCAAAAATCCTACTCTAGAATAAATCCTAACAGGATTGTGAATGTGCTGTTGTGCTCCCTGTTTACAACAGAAAAGAGCTTTATCTTTTATTTACTCTAATAAACCATGTCTGACGACCTGTATGCCTGGGTTAACCCTCCCTTCCCTTCTCAGAGCCATAACTTACCAGTGGGAGTAGTGACCAGTTTAGTTGTCATGACAGTCCCATTACTGCTAACCACCATAATAGGTGAATTGCTACTGCTGGGCAAGGTCGCTGTAACTGGTTTGGGAAGGATTTTACTGGGCTGCACCTGCTGAGTGATTATTTTAACACCTAGGAAAGGAGAAAGGTCACTGTTAAAATACAGGCACGAAAAGTTACTTTCTGAAATGCTTTCTCAGACCAAGCCCAAGAGGGCAAGAAGCCTCACAAGGCTTTTATTCTGAGCCCACGTATTCTTGATGCTGAAAGAAAATACTTATTTTGTTTGGGTTGGGGCTTTTTTTGCTTGGTTTTTGTTTTGCAAATAAAAAATCATCTTTATCTTTCAATCTTTCAGGTGCCTGTTTCAATTTCTACCTACTCCCACAGAAGTGCAGGATTCCATTCCATTAATGATTTGCTGTAATGATTTTAACCTTTTCTGATCCATGATTCAATAACATAGAATGTTTCCCAGGAAACAACAGGTTACAACCAATACTGAAATGGCTCATATACAATGAACCATCTAAAAGTGGAATGATTCTTCATCAGTTTAGTCTAAATTTTAATGTTTCTTAAGAAGCCTAGCTCAATTTCATCCCTTTGGCTAAACTAATACAAGCTTTCTGCACAGAGTATTAGTGGGCGTAAGGAAGCAACTGTGACACTGGTTAGGGAAGACTGCTTTAAGTAAACTGCTCTCTCTCCTCTTATCTACCTGTAATGTTGAAGACACAAGGGAATTGGGCTGAAACAAGCTATGAGCAGATTCAGCAAGAACAAAGGATGAGGACACTTTAATACAGCAAGGATCCTGCTCCCTCTCTTTCCATTTGTGCAGTGTGGAATGGGACCTCTGCAAGATTCACTTCTCAGTTGCAAACAGGAGATTCACACCATCTGTTCAAAAGTATATCTGAGGATACTTGCAACTTACAGTCTGTTCCATGATAAGGGAAACGTACTGCATTGTGCTGGTTAAATGCCATGAAACACCCAGCCTGAATTGATCCAATCTAAATGTAGGCACTACGTTAGTGCACAAATATTTCCAGGTGAATGTTTTTGTCCACTCAGGATGTGAAACATCTTCCTGAGATGTTTTCTTCTTTCTACATTGACTATAAAAGCAAGATGGAGCAAGCTAGCTCCAAACTTAAATAATGAAGTTAGGAAAGAGAAATTGAAGCCTTTGTGGCATCCAGACACAAAACTGGATAAAAACCAAAGTCTCTGTGAAAACTGATTCACACCTTCCAGAAAGAATCAGACAGTATTTCTGAAGAGACTTAAAAAGCAGACTGAACCTAAACCCATGGTAGAAGGCAAGGAATGAAGTTCCTATTGATCAAATACTGTTCACTCACTGGAGGTCTCTTATCTGTCTTCATTAGTAGATATTTTTCCTTAGGCAACAGTCCTAGGACCATTCCAAAAGGAAGTTTATCAAAGGACAGGAGCAGGGCTGTTTATATTTCATTCGGTGGTGTATTTTAATTCTCTGATCTAAATAGTATGAATATAAAGTAATAATTTAACTAACATGAATAAGATTAATATAAAATATGGACATAAAAATACTTTGCACTTTTATAGCACTTTCATAGCACTTCTTTTAGAATAAGGTAACTTTGCAAGCACTATTTCTTACTGCATCTTATGGAGATAAGAACTGTATTCTACAGCAGAGATAGAAAGATGACAAGACTTGCCCAAAGTCAACTGAATGAAACAATACTACAAAAAGAATGCAGTCCAACTTCCAGTCTTAGATCTAATTGTATGTGTTTTGACAAAGTACCTCAAAAGTAGGTTTTGATTTCTGGATCCCCCGAAAAAAAAAACAGTTAAAAGATGGATTAACTTATTTTTTCACTTGATAAATTGAGCTCTTGGATCTTCACAAAATTGGCATCTTCCAGGTTGCTATTGTGTTAGTTTTGAAGATATTTACATATATTTGACCTCTAAAGGTAAAACATTTATCCCTAAAACATGGTCTGCAATATCTGTACCAAACATCATGTACCCAAGTAATCACAGCTCCCCATGCACATTTTGGGACAGAATTCTGCCCTCTCCCAGGCCGTGGTTAGACTTCATCAATCAGTGATATGACCCAAGACTAACTCCAACTACCTGATTCCTGTTTGATCTGAATGGTGGGCTTGATGCCAGGTGGCAACTGAGATTGCTGTGGCTGCTGCTGAGCTGCAGAGGACTGCACCAGTTGTTGCTGCTGTTGCTGCTGCTGCTGCTGCTGTTGTTGCTGTTGCTGGGCCTGTTGTATTTGTTGCAGCTGCTGTTTGGGGGACTGCTGATGCTGTTTGGGAAACTGTGCTAAGATCTGTGTTGGGTTCCCAACCAGACCTTTTGGGGAAGGTAGCCTGGTAGAGGCAACTTTAATTGCTGACGTAGACACACCTGTGAAAGAGTAAATGGTTTAAGACCAGACAGTGCAACACAAATATTACAATTTTGAAAATCATTTTGCATTTCGTTTCCTAGTGAAAAATGCATAGATACACAAGGGAAGAAAGCTCCCACATAGGAGACATTCTCTAATCAGAGACAACGGAGCTTTATACAGATTTGCAATGTGGCAGCAGAGTAGCAGCTAATGGAATGACCACGATGCCAGTTTACCTCCTGCACCTTTTCTAGTGCAATTAATTCACAAACATTTTCAAAGTCTGATATTTTAGGTTTCAAGAAATTCAAGTATTTATAGTGAAAATCATGGCTACAAAAAGTGAGGGATATGAGGATGTCAAACATCAAACCCATCAACATTAGAAGGGAGTTATCTCCTAGTGAATACAGTATTGGTTTAAAAAAATCAAGTACTTTTATATAATTTAGAAAACTATGGAACACATTTTTGCGCTGATAGGTTAGATGATCTTACAAGTAACAAAATGATTAAAACAAGTTTGCAGTAAGATGGAAAGATGAAGTTCCCAAATAAATACTACTTAATACTTCTGTCATTCCCTTACATAGCTGTCATAACATTTCCAGCAAAATCTGGTTTCATCTATAACTCTAAACTGCACATCCATAAGCACCAGCAAACACAAAGTCCATGTCTCATAAAGGCAGTTTTAAACCAAGTCCCAGTTGTACCGGAACATACAAAGAAAATCATTCGTATTTTGCTACCCTTACAGATGGCAGTGACAATGATAGAAATCATAATAAAAAGTAATTCTGGCAATCTAAATAACCCTTCTCTCACTGCATCATCTAAGATGGTTTCCCCATTTACTTGGTCATTTGTTTTCATTTATGAATAGAACTTCCTTCGCATTTGGAGTGATTACTATTTTACGTCACAGAACGTTTCACTAGCACCTTCTGCAATGACACTGATAGTCTTGAAAAACAAACAGCTGTTCAAGAGATAATGCATCTCCTGTGTTTTAGAAGTAAAATCTCTCCTGTGACCAAACCTAACTAAAAATCCACAGTTCAAATGATACAAAATTCTGCTGTAAGCCCTTGTGTTCTATAGGTTACTAACTTGGGTGTTATTGTAATGACAGGACAAGACGAAAACTTAAACAGGGGAAGTTTAGATTGGCAGTGCTTGGGTTAAGGGCTGGACTTGATGATCTTAAAGGTGTTTTCCAACCTGGTTGATTTTATGATTCGATAAGGAAGAAGTTCCTTACCATGAGGGCAGTGAGGCCCCGGCACAGGTGGCCCAGAGAAGTGATAAATGCTCCATCCCTGACAGTGTTCAAGGCCAGGTTGGACAGAGCCTTGAGCAACATGGTCTAGGTTGAGGCAGCCCTGCCCATGGCAGGAGGGCTGGAACTAGATGATCTTAAGGTCCTTTCCAACCCAAACCATTCTATCATTGTGTGATCTTCAGGATCTGATTAACAGCAGCACTATGAAAGGCAAAATACCTCCTCAGCCTTGGCATGGTTGCCCAATATTTTGTGGAATGAAACAAGAATGGAAAATACAGACAAGGAAAAATTGCAATGTGACACCTGTCATTGGCAGGCACAGTTATCTGTCAAGGGCTGCTCGCTAAGGCACTTTCATTCATCCAGAGCTTCTCTTCCAAATGTTACCTAGTGGCTGTGGAGTTGAAACAGTCATGCTAGTACATACTTGGAGCTGGAAATCAGAAACCTAGGAATTTTAATCCAGGCCCAATCAGGTCTTAAACTGAAGGACATGAAAACTGACATGCTGATAAAATACACAGATAAAAAGGTGTAAACACCTCTCTACTTTTCAGAATTGTCATTGAGATTAATTACCACAAGAAATATTCTAAAGACCGAGCATGTCAAGCATAGGTTCTATTTATTTGATGTTAACTTTGCATACCTTTGTAAATGAGGCTTTAAGAGAAGCAATCATCTTTAAATAATAGGAACATCCATATTCCATGCATCAAATAGTTTTGAAAGCGAGGCATTTTGAGGGTGTAGTGTTTTACTGCTGCAAGTGAAATCTTTTCAAGACCAAAAGCTATTTCTTTCACATCTCCTGTGCTTTACGCATCATATGTAAACAAACAAGTGCATCTCCCCTATGCTATTCTCAAAACAAAGAGTCCAAATTCACCACTGAAAGAGCATCTTTTATAAGCATAATGTTATTGCCATACCTTGTGCTACTGTTGACATAACCACTGATGGTGTTGATGATACTACAGCAGTCACAGCAATAGTATTTGCAGTACAGGAAGGAGTGGAACAGCTGCTGCTGGTGCTGCTGCTACTGACCAAAGAGGACTGAGAAGCAGTTATGACCACTGGCTGCTTCTGAGTAGTTGAGGCAATGACTGACGTTGGGACAAGTTTCGTGACTGCTGCATAGTTGTGGGACTTTGAAAGGATGTTGGGTACAAAAGTTGAGCTTGGAGAGGTGGTCACTATGATCACCTGAAAGAAGAAAAAGAACAAGAAATTCATTTGTTCTTTGCTTTTATCTAAAAGCATAAAATTGCAGTAATGCATCTGTCTGTGTATTTAGTTTTAGGGATACATGCTTATTAAGACTGTTTAAGACTCATCATCTCATTTGCTGGCAACAAAAACACTCAATTAGTTTGAAGAAATAGTGATAAACATTTCCTTAAAATTAGAAAGGTCTGGGTTTGAGAAAAACAATTACTATCTAATTAAAGCAGAATTATCTCATGTCTGAAGGCAAACAGACAGGAATGAACCGCTTGGCTTCATTAAACTGGCCCAGGAAGCCTGAAAAATCATTTTAAATGGAACTAAAGGCATTTCCAACAAGTTTGAAACACCATTCTCCCAAACCTTGCACATACATCAAGAAATGGCAGTGAGAGAATAGATGATTCCTTTTTTCTCTTCAGCAATGAACAAGCAGTTGCCGAGTCAGTAATGGGGAACATTTTTGATGCACAAAGCTGTAAACAGTATTTCTTCAATGCAAAAGACGTGATTTAGGTTTGAAACAATTTCTGCTTTAATTTGTGCTCTCAATAACAAGAAATCCTTTCTTATCTTCTGAAAGCCACTTCTCTAAAGAGAATAAACATTACCCCTGGTGCGAGTTACAATTACACCACCATTAATCTGATCTGACACAGGGAAAATACAGAATTCATTATAACACTGGAAGAGGTCTGTTCTTACACAACTGACCTAGAAAGCTAGCATTTCTTATGTGTTGAACATGGGGACTGTTAATGTAAAGAGATTCCTCTTATTCTGCTTGTATGTACCTCCTTTTACTTGCACACAATTAAAACGGAAACACACAGCACAGAAATGCAATGTATTTTCATGTTACCATGCAAGAATATTGAGTTGTTTTAATTATGCAATTGTCCACATAATTTCATTTATTAAAACCTTGAAAATTAAAACTTATTAATGTACCAAAAGCAGACAGAAAAAGCTATAGAAGGAGCAAAGAAAACCTGGGTCAGCTCAAACCAAAAAGTCTTATACTACAACCTGAGGAATAGTGAAACCTGATACAGAAAAGAAATAGCATGATAATGGCATCAGAAACAGACTTAAGTGAGAGATCAAGCAGTAAGAGATTAAGAGTTTATAAAATAAAATAAAGATAACCACATGGATGGAATAAAAGCAGCAAATTTCACCCCAATGACTGCCTCTGCCTCTCCTTTTGCCCCAGTGCTTGATTTTTGTGATCCCCGCTACTTAGCTAAGCCTTTAATATCTTGATCTGAGGAAAACCAAAGACTTACTACACAAGCTTGTCCACAACTGACCAATGCCTGAAGAACATCTGCTGCTCTAACACTTTATTGCATTCTCCACAAAAGAACATTTTCTCTGTTACACTCTTAGTTTTCCCCTCTACCTAACCTTGATTCAATCAAAACACCCTCCTGAAATTGCTCTGAGGCTACAACCATGAAGATGCGCTGAGTATGATACAGCTTGATTCTGGTAGGAGGTGAAAAGATCTTACAATATCCTGTTTCTTAGTTAGTTAACACTAGAAATACTTCCCAAGTGTTTCAATTTTATGGCCAGCTCCATTCTACTCATTTAGGAATACAGTCAAAGGACAACATTATTCACATTAAACTTCCTGTATAATCCATAGTGCAACAGGACAAGTTCAGCATCTTAACTAAGTACAGACCTATAGGATGAACCTGGGCATAATCACAACTCCTGAAAACTGCTGTTCTTCATTCAAAGGTAGAGATAAAGCCATCAGTCCAAGATTATCACTTAATAGTACTTTAATCACACAAGGAAATAAAGCTTGTAAAAAATTATAGTTCAATAATGATTGCTGGCCTGTGACTAAGCAGATTTGGGTCTCTTTTCTTCTCTCAAGATTAACAGAGCAGAACAAAGTTTAGTGACCTTCATGTATGAAGTATATCCAGAAAACAGAATTTTCAGGTAAAAGCTTAGAGGGATTAAAGCTCAAATCACAGTCATATTTCTTGCGATGCTATTTTTCTCATGTATGTTGAAATTAAAGTAACCTTATCATGGGTACTAAAACTGCATGATGTATTTTACAGAAGAAAGACTGCTTGATTTAAAATCTAAAATAAAAGCAAATTGCTCTTTTTTTTCTTATTATGGTAAAAAATAATTTCTAATCTACATTAAAATTAGTCCTATCAGGTCTATTTTGAGAGACATCAAACCTTGCTCCTGACGAAACAAAGGCATTAACTGCCAAAAGCTTCACTAGCCTGATTCCTTCTGTGTCCCAGACAGAGCACTTTATAATAAGAGAATCCACAAATTGGAGCTGTGACATTATTAGTCCTTAAATATAATCTTCCTCCAACCTACTAAAATGTCAAAGCAATTCAGAAAGCTGGCATGCAGGAATGAAGAATTTCATTCATATCCAACAACTTCAGCCATCTCTACCAGAACTTGTTTAAAAGAGTACACTTCCCATTTAAGTGTAACAAGTCTGGCATTTCATTTCAAACTTCAAAAAGGGATCTCTCTTACCCAAATGATCCACAGTTATGTATTTTGGCATATCTAAATCCAACAAAAGAGGGCAGGGTGACAAGTTCAGGTACAAACGCTACTATGGCTCCCTAATGAAACAAGCGATGGCTTTCCTATCATAGCAGATTAGAAAGAGAGTCAAATAATGCCATGCAAAGCAAAACCTAAAATTTCTACGTCAGAACAAGCAGAAGCACAACTGCAGGAAAGACCTCACCAACAGTCTATTCTCTTCCTTTTGGAGATTTAATACACTCCATCTTTAATTACCAGCACATGAAACTCAATACAAGACTACAGATGTTTAAGGCAGAAAAATTCTTCCTGCTGTAAAGATGAGCCTAACAAGAGCAACAGGATGCCCTATACTAGCTGTGAAGTTGCTGCATTGAACACAGGACATTTTACTTTATGGTTTATGCTCACTCACAACTTTCTACTCCTGTATTCAGAGACGAAATTTGATTCAGGACACTGTTAAAGAACAGTGAATCAAACGAAAGCATCAAAGAGCTCTGAAGAGGGAAAAGGCCAGAAAGCAAGATCTTTATTGCATATTGCTTCAGTTAATCTTCCTTTGTTTCCAAAAGAGTCAGGACATGGGAACTCTGCTAATCCAAATAGAGTCATAAAACAATTAAGACGACAAATAGAACAAATACCCTGTGAGGGTTTGAGCTCAAGTCAAACTCCCACAGTTGGAATAAAAAATGCTCGTTAGTGGGCAGCCTCCCACCAATCTGTTGGTATCAGGGCCAAATTAATCCCACAGACACCCCCCACTCCTAAGTCTGCCTTAATAAATAACCATACCAAGAATGAGCTTGGTCTGAGCCATTAATCTTTCTTACATCTTAAGAACAAAACAGTAGACATATCCAAAATGCTTCCTAAGGCCATGGGAAAACAGTTATGCCATAGATGTGGCACGTTAAGAGCCTGAGTCCAATACAAAACTTCAACACAGAAAACCTTTTCCACACACTGCATTCCGGTGATAGCTGGGCACACTCAGCTGAAATAATGCAACTGATTTTGACCACTAGAACACTGTTAATGTAGAATGAGAAATGGCACACTAGTACTGAAAGGAAAATAAAGCCCCCCCCAGTCTTTGATCAGCTCCGAGGATAAGCTTTGTAGACCCCAAAAAAACCTCGTCTCTAGACAAAAGGCTTGGCAACGGAAAGCCCATGCCACCTCTGCTGGAATTCTACTACTGCAAAGAATAACCGTCAATAAGGAAAATAGAAATAAGAAAGATTACCTTTGACCAATAGTTGTTACCATCTGAAGGCTGTTCAGTGGCCTATGTGATCCAGTTCTCAGTGGACTAGTGTCCATATCACAAAACCCAACACCACAAATGGTACTAACTGGCAACCTTGTTGGCAGTCTCACCAGAGAGGCCAAGAATTGAATGAGCATGGAGACTGAATCCCCTCTCATCCCTAGAAGTGGTCCCTTCAGGTCAGGGTTGAGGCACATTGGTGGGGCAGTCTGGGGGAAGCTTGCACTCCCGCTGCCTGTGCTGTACCTGTTCTGTGGATAAAAAGAGGGCTTCAGTCTCCACGGCTGTCAATCCAGGTCCTTTCACACACAGGTGAACTAAATTCATACAAGAGTTTGGTTTTTTTCTCTTTGTTCGTTTTAAAGAGGGATTACCTTATCCCAAGTGCAATCCTTAAGAAAACAGCCAGACAGTTCACAGCAAGGAAGAGTCAAACATCACATCTTACTCATTGATAAAACCAGAATAAAGTAACATTTGGCAGCTTCCCCCACATACCTTCTGCGTTGTCGTGTTTGTTGTCTGCGTTGAGGGCTTAGTGAAGGTTATTTTCACAGGCGACATGTGTGGTGGTAAGGAGTTGGCAATGCTCTGCATTATATTACTCATCTTGGGGCTGCCACTTACAGGCACTGTGATAGTTTTAGTGACAGGAGTCACTGCCTTCGGGACTTCTTTCAGGAGAACAGGGGAAGAACTTGAGGAATTCGTTCGCCGTCTTTTGCGGGGCTTTTCATCATCATCTGAGCAGCTGACGCCTGCAAAAGAAGTACTTTATCTCAGTTATACTTTCCCCTAGCTGCAGCTCTAAGTGCTTTCTAAAACACTACAAACTTGCTGAGCCTTGTATGCACTTTCAAATAAGGTAAGAAGAACTAGAGTATAAATTACATCTTATGGTCACAACCAACCTGTATCACACCAGAGTCCTTTATACAGACCACCATAAAGCAAGCAAACCCACAACCTACTCAGTTACTGTGTTACTTCACTCAGTTTACGAGATTTAAAGAACCTAAGATCCTATAGAGGGATTTCATTCTGTCTCAAGAAGCTTGACTAATGAGATTACACACACAAGGGGGTTGGGATAACATCATGCACATTTGTCGTAGTTTAAGCCCAGCGGTAACTCAGAACCAGGCAGTTCCTCCCTCTCTCCCTCCCTTGCCCTCTCCTAGAGGGATGGGGAGGAGAATCCAAAGAATGTAACTCCTATGGGTTGAGATAAGAACAGTGCAGTAACTAAGGTATAACACAAACCACTGCTACTACCACCAATAATAATGATAAGGGAAATAACAAGGGAAGAGAATACAACCGCTCACCACCCGCCGACCGATACCCAGCCCGACTGAGCAGTGATCCAGCCCTGCCAGGTAACTGCCCCATCCTGATCATGACGTGCTGTGGTATGGAATACCTCTTCAGCTAGTTTGGGTCAGGTGTCCTGTCTCTGCATCCTCCCAGCTTCCCCTCCTCTCTGGCAGAGCATGAGACTCAGAAAGTCCTTGGTCTGAGTAAACATTCTGATCAGCAACTAAAAGCATTGGTGTTATCAGCGCTGTTCCCAGGCTGAAAGTCAAAAACACAGTGCTGCACCAGGAGACAAATGATTGCTACTGCTGAACCCAGGACAGCATTTCAGTTTAAAACTCTACATTACACTGTTCTTGCTGCTGGTTTTGTTTACACCAACTGGACTCCTTCAGTTGATCCTTCTGTAGTCTTCTCTGTTTTCATAGAATCAGATTAGTTTTGGTTGGAAAGGACTTTAAGATCAACTAGTTCCAACCCCCCTGCCATGGGCAGGGACACCGTCCACTAGTCCAGGTTGCTCAGGGCCCTGTCCTGTACCTCTGGTGATGAGGCATCCATAACTTTCTTGGGCAGCCTTTGTCAGCGTCTCACCACTCTCACAATAAAGAATTTCTTCCTTATATCTAACCTAAATTTCCCCTGTTTAAGTTTCAACCTCTGTACCTACTATGCCATGCATATCATCATAGCAAACCTTCTCCCTATCACCTCAGCATGGCATCTTGAGATCCTTTATTTTATGACATACTTTTAACTACAAAGGTCAAACCTCACTTTACCAGCTTCTGCCTTGTCTGGTGCATTTTGTGCAACACACATAAAGTGGCACCAAATGGGCAATCATGAACAACAGAAGTCTGGCCTCAAAGAATTTTGCTCTTCCTCACAACCCTCTACTGCACACATAGAGCAAAGATCTGCAAGACTCAGCTGAGCAAAGGCTGACAGCGTGATTAATGCATCTTAAATCCATGTGAAACTTTCCAAAGTAGGCAATAAGTTCATAAATTGGCATACATTACAGAAAGATGTGGTTTAATAACCTTGAAAATCTCTTACAGCTAACGGGTGGCATTTATGTTTATCAAATTAGCCAGTGTTAAGCAAACCAAAGATAAGCCAAAAAGACACAATCGCCCCTATGCAGAACAAGGCTGAAGATCTTGTTCCGTATGCCTGGGGCTTAAAGACAAAGAACACTGTCATGGCACAATGCAGCCTTGCCAGTAAGGCAAGCAGACTTGGTTGGCAGTCTATCTCTAATTAGGGTCAAGAGCTAATTACAGTCTCCAATAAAATAACTAAGTATTCTGGCACTTGAAAAGTGAAGATGTAGGAATTAACACGGACAAGGAAGTGCCCTGTAGCACAGCAAGTGATTTCTGGAATATGGGATTCTCTCTTCACACAAGTCCCAGCTCATTCGCAGGTGCACTTCAAACAATTTTACCCACACAAAGATGTGGAAATCCACTTCTGTAGAAGCTGAACCAGAGAAGAAAAGCAAAGGCTTTATTTTAAGTTTGCTCTGAACTCCAAAAAATACATTTTAGCTGGCTGTAGCTGTACAGATGAAGCATATATCTACAAGTGGATTTCAAAGCTCTAATCAACACTTTACAGCCCTGAACAAGCCTAGAGGTGATCTCCACCTATAAAGCAGAGATTCGGTTACATGACTTTAAAGTCTATTATGAACAGGGTTTTAAGTATTACTGTGAGTGCACAATGCAAACTTACAGCTGTGAGGATGTTAACCACACTGAAAATGTGCTGGAATTTCAGAATTCATTTGAATCAAAACTCCATATGCAGCTAGGATGTTAGGACAGTGCTGTTTTCTTGGTGGGCCACCAAGAAATACTTCAGAGAAAGCCATTTGTAGTCCTTATGCATCAAAAAAACCCAATAAAGAACAATACAAAAACAAGAAAGTAAGAGTAAACTAATAGAATGTTATTTTCTGGTAAGCAGAGCTCATTTCACCTCCTGTTTTCACTACTGGGGGTCTGCAAGGACATTGTTTCTACGATTTCATGTTAGAAACTGCATTGGCACAAAGTTTTCCCCCAGCATTTAGCTAAAAGGTAATACAGCTTGAGCGTAACTCACACCTGACAAGCAAGGAAGCAGAGGCAGGGAGAGGTTAATGGCTCAATCAGACTGTGACTCGGATGAGGTCACGCAACAGATCAGTGGCAAAGTCACCACTATAACTCAGGCCTCCTGAGCTTGCTCTTCAGCAGGTTTGTTAAAACTAAGGTGACTGATACAACACACACTGAAAGACACACAATTCCTTAGAAAAAGGGAACAAAATGAAGCATGCAAGGGGGGGGGGGGGGGGGGTAAAAAATGCAATCTAGGGATGGACAGAATAAAAATGAGAACGTTTCATCTCTCTACTGTGTGTCTAGACTGGTTTTACACTCATCATCATGTAATAACTCATGCATTACCATGTAATAATTCATTAGAGGGCTAAATTAAATTTTTAAGCGGTTAAGAACATTTTTCCCCTGAATCTTTAAACTAAAGCAGAGTGATTAGTGCACTAAATCAGAGAAATGAAAAATCTTCATGTAATGGGTTCTGTGGGTTGATTCAGCCCTTGAGGACAGCAGTTTGCAGGTAACATTATGTACAATGTGGCATTTCTGGCTAGCTAGAAGCTTATACAAACATCCACATATTGCATAAAGATTGTCTTTAAAATGTGAAAGGGATCCACAGCAAGCATAAAAACAGCACTTATCCACTTCACTGTTAATCTTTGTCACCTGCATTTTGATACAGACACCAAGTAAGGACAGAAGGAAACAGCTTTAATTAGTTAAGTAAAGCTACCTTTGATGAGCTGGGTGTCCATATGTGATGGACATATTCTGCTTTTAAAACCAGCTGATCTATTAGCCAAAGAAAGAAGGAAGAGGGGGTTAGAAAAAAGACTGATTGTGGATGTTATATCCTGGGTACTTCCAAGTTTAAATGCATGAAGATGGGTATCTGGTGGGATTTCACTTGGGAGTTTTCACAGTTGCCAAGTAATGCAAGCCTCACTGAGATTCACTTCCAAATAAATGACAAAATGGCCACAGATAATATGAGCATGTAAATGCTTGCCAGGCTACTGTGCACAATGAAAGTGGAAAGAAGGGACCTCTTCTAACTCAAGGAAGCGACTACGATGCATTACTTCAGCAGCTGAGCCACCTTAAAGATGAGTTCTGACCAAGTTGGATTAGAAATCCACTGACATACAGCAATTTCTAGGTTTAATTTTGAAACTACTTTTCATTCTTCTTGTCCTTGTCATTACTGCTCCCTGCAGCATTTTACAGCGAGTGGATTTATCCTGAACGTGATTTCTTTGAAAAGGGGAAGCAATAAATTCATCCTTTAGACTAAACGAAGGCATAAAGGCATTAAACGACTTGCCCAAGGTCAAAGTGTTTAACTCAGTCCATGCTTCAGCCACAAGACTGTCCCTTTCTTTCCCTTTTGTTAACCAGTTGCTAGTATCACTTACTTTTGACGTAAACAGTACTTCCACTTGGCAAGACGACTACATTGGAGGCTGGACTGGCAGGTCTGGGGGACTTCACTGTTGCTACACTGCCACTTGGAACAGGGGTAGATGTTGGGGTTGAAGTGGTACTTGTGTAGGAATAGCAAACCACCACTGAAGAGGAGAAAAGACACCTTCCATATAACTGAAGTGCAGAATCCCATTATTCTATCACTATTTTAACAACTGAAATGGAAGCCAAAGACTTATTGGGTCATTATCCATACCTTTGCCTCTGCAATCCTGTGAATTACTCCCCAGTTTGACCTAAGTATGGCCATTGAATTAATGGCTTTCAAAGACAACAGAGAAATCTAACCTCCCATCCTCCCACCCCCAGAAATCTCTGCTGTTCATTCTAGATTTATTTGTATTAACCTGGTGGTTTACTTTACAACTTATTATTTTTAATTTTAGCATTAATTTGGTATTTTGATCTTTTTGCTTTACTGTAACTGACCATATCCAGACTGATAACTAATGGAACATAGCTAGTGTCAATCCTCAACAGCACACCAGCTGAAGAAACCAAAATAATCCTTCGGTAATGAACAACTGATTTTTGCTAATCAGCTTTTTTCAACTCTTTCTTGTAAATAATAGCACAATGATCCAGCATTTCTCACACAACCAAAATCAACCAGCTTGTTTCAAGAAGTGTTACACGTTCTCTGGTTGCATGAAGCACAATTCGAGCCTATTCACCTACGCTAGATGGAATGTGTTACCAGCATTATTTAAAAGGCACAGGGAAAGCAGAAAGCAATCTTTAACTTGTTAACTGGGTATGTTTAATCTCAAGCAGGGGGAAAATAATGAAACCAACAAAATTTTCTCCACTTTCACCAAAACCTACTTACATTCTTAAAGTGTTCTGAAACATCAAAGCACAGAATGGTTTGGGTCAGAAGAGACCTTAAACGTCCTTCAGCACTTACAGAACTTGACAAAAGCTTAAGCCATTGGTCCAAGTTTTGAGAGTTTACAGAGCTTAACAAGTTAACCAGTGAAATTCCCCTCTGTTTCCTGGCAATTTGGTTTCCTTAATTTCACTTGCTAGTGTGCTCACTAACACCAAGTATCAGATTTACACTGCAGGTGCTGCAAACACATTTAAATAAATAAATAATATCATGTTTCTAGGAATATTGTGCAATAAGAAAGATTCAGATTATAATAATAATAATAATCTAACACTTAAAACCTAAGAGAACAATTTCTCCCGTGACATTACTTCTACATTCCCACAGACTGAAGCAGTTAGGCCTTTCTCTCACCTTCTTTGTTCCCAGTTTCTGCAGGAACTGGAAGAGATGCGTTGTGCTGAACCGCTGCATTGGCAACAGCATTAGCAGTAACAGTAAAAGCTGTTTGTGGAACAAGCCGTGGCATCAGCGGCACCAGTCGACGACCTTCTATAGACCATTCGGAAGAGCTGTTTGGTCCAGACATACTAAACAGAAATGCACATCCTTGTAAGTATATTGCACAGTTTCCAAACTACCCAGTACTCTTATTCAAGAGGCTTTTTCAACAGTGAAAGTCTAAAAGGAAGTTTCTAAAGACACACTACAGCAATAACCTTCAACTGTCTTCATTTCATGAAAGCCCTTACATTTTTCCCACCTGATGGGGAAATCCTCCCACAGAAATCTTAAGAGTTGCTGCTTCTTTACCTGTTTTGCTTTGAAGAGCCCTTGAGGGGACAGAGGTGTGTGGATGTCACGCTCAAAACCCCCAGATGAGATCAGCTACTATTCAGATACAGTTGGTACCTGAATAGTACATCTACATCTGGATGACAATATCTACCTATCCAACAGATGTGTAAATTGGATGTGTAGGTATTTGCACATCCAGTAAAAGACTACTGGAATTTTACATCTACTGCTACATCACAGGGAAAAACTCTCAGCTTCCAATGCAAATGTTGTTTTACCTGATCAAAAGAGTTTCTCAGACTTATTAAAGTAGTTCCAAACAAAGTCATAGAACATGAAATGATTTAAATACACCCCAAGCACCTTCCTCAACAGGAACCAGCCTGCTGCTCCAGTTTTCTCTTAACCTTAGTGCTTACAAACTGGAATGCTTCCAAAAATTGCTGTTCTTATCAAGATGGGAAAAGTGTTTCTGTTGATGACTTATTATACGAGTCATTTGTCAAATCAGCAAAACCAAAATGGCAAATTATTTTTCAATGCCGTTATGTTCTTCAGCAAATCAACCCACTTTAATGTATTCATATATTCTGAAAACACAACTTCTCACTCGAACTATTGCAAGTTGCAGCAAAAGCTACCACAAATCAGTTTGTAAAATGCAGAGGATCTGCTCTGTTGTTAAATCCTGACACACTTCAGTGTTCTTCAGATACATATTCACATAGTGTAAGCAGAGCTACATCAGCTGAGGTAAAAATACATCTTTCCAACAGAAATTAAGGCTACAACGCACATAGCAAAGCTAGGGAAGTCCGTTTCCCTTAATAAGTTAATTATTCAGGTCAAATACAGTATTACCAACCATCACTTACAAAGAATTACCACAGGGAAAAATAAAGAGATGCAGCACTTCACAATTGTACCTTGTCTGGATTATAATACCACATCCATCTGAAGTTCAGCACCTCAGGACAAACTTTATGCTCATTCTGTAAAATGCTAAAAACAGAACTACTACTTAAAAAGGAAACTTGATTCAAGACGAAACACCTGATTTGATAACTAAATGCTTATCCTTCAGTAGTTTTTTCCCCTTTCTTTAAAGGAGCGTAAGGAAGTTGGTGGGTTTTGCTGGTTGCATACTTCTAACTCTTTAAACTTGAACACTGAAACACTAAAATGTTAAAAGTCCTTCTGCAGCACTAAAACAGTCTGCTGATTTTGGCAAGCCTTGGATCTATTGTATAACTGCTAACTCAAACTGGCCTGCTAGTTGTACAATTTCCTTTTTTCTCCCCATGACACCTAATCTACAATAGTCAAAAATCAATGGCTGTAACAGAAAAAGAAGAAAAATACAGACACTTCCAATCCTGCTCCGTTTAAAGACAGTTCTTAATATAAGGCAGCTAAGTAACTATCAAAGATATGACAGCACTTGCCCTCTTGCTCCTCTCCACCTCTCAAAATCATGTGGAGCTTGCAAAAGCAAACACAAAGAGGAACCAGCCCAGTGGATGCCAGCACAGCAGCTGCATCAAGCAGGAAGGGTGGACACTGATGTCACCACTTAACTTGCTGCAGTTTTTTTAACTCAATCTTCAGAATTCTATCTTTCAGTTAAGGCATGATGGATATTCCACAGGGTACCTTTGATATCACATAGAAAATGACCCGTAGCTTACTTGTGTGCAATAGTCGTTAGTCGTTCATCATTTACTGCCCTCCGAACTTCAGCACGATGTCTCTCCGTTGAAATACTATTAAAAACAGCAATATATTTTAGTCAAAGGGAGACAGGAACATTTATCTAAACCTTCTAGCCTGAAATTAAGCTTATGAATAATCTACTCAAGAGACGAAAGGGAACGGGCATTTACATTTAAGAGATTGTCACTTAACTTTTGCCATCACAGGGAGAAAGAATGACTGTATTGTTGCTCGAAAATACTACTGAAGGATAAAAAGAACACTGCTGTTCATAGCAAACAGCGAGAATCCAACCTCCTAATGAGAGCAATAAATTTAAAGCATGTGGCAGACAAATTTGCTCAGAACACACAGCATTCTTTCTTGAAGACGACCTTGAAGTTCTACCTTGATGAAGCCAGCACACACTCATGAGCTACCCGTAAGCTTTTAACACTGCATCTCACAAAGCACCAAAACAGCAAAGCTTCAACCACACAGACAAGGCTGTTTTCCTTGCTAAAAACTCAAAGCAGAAGACGAATTAAACCTCCACAAGATGGAGAATTTCTCCTCTGAATTAAGATTTGCTTTGTGATCCTAGCACAGGCAATACCTTAAAAGGAAACAGGTCATTGGTTCTGATTTTAAAGAGGTCAGGGTTACCTAAGCACTTTAGAGAGTTCTCCAAGAAGATCCTTCTTCTCTTTCGTAAGGTCTCCCTGTGCACGTAAGGCACTGATGACACCTGCATATGCTTCCAGTTCTGAAGAATTAGAACAAATAGGATTTTATTTAATGCTCACAGCAAAGGGGGGAAAAAATGCTTCTGACAGTATTCTATTAATTTGCAAAATCATTAAGAGGAACATGTCTTTCAATTATTTAGTGCTTCTCAAAGGAGATTGATGATTTAGAACTCTCGCAGTCAATTACTCTGCAGCATACAGCTTTTCTATGAAACAATTCTATCACAGAGGATTATTCAGTTTATAAACCCGACTGAATGTCAAGCTCTGAGCTGACAGTTCAACCAGAAAGCTTGAAGGAACAGACCCCAAACTCGAGAGTAGCTCAGAATTCTTTAGAAACAGGAGAAGAACATCTTTTAACATATATCCTTGTTAAAAGTTCCACAGGAAAGCTTGACTTGAAAAAGAGCTGCACTATCAAAAGAGCAACTGATTTTTCCATAATGCCTTTCCTTAATGAGCGTGGAGAACATTAGCTCTAGTCTGTTAAATAGAATCATCACAACCTTTTATGCCCATTTACTTGATATGCACAACTACTTGAATCTGAAAAGGACACAATACACTGAATTACACCTGCTCAGCACAAAAGAAACAATGCGGCTACTCTTAAATGTAGAGCTACTCGTGTAACTGTAGAACTATCACAGAGATTAAGTCGCCACCATACAACTCTCAGTTAAGGTGAATTTATAATTCCAGGTGATCTATCTAAATGTCATGCCATGAGTGTTTCAATAAAAATCAAACAGTTAAAGGCTACTGAAACGTCTGAATTGTGTCCCCTGAAGCAGGGTGAAAACACACCTAATGAAATAATGGAGTCTGCTGATCTGCCAAAGAATGACTCGTTGTTCTAAGCTTAGCACAGGGTAAGGAAACATCACTGCAACTCCTGCTTTAAACCAGAAACACAAATTCTTTTGACACTTCCATAATTGGCTTTATCACCCCCATTTCAGTGGCCAAGCCAAACCGGCCCCACAACATATCCCGGTTAAGCAAAATAAAAGGGGTATGCTAAAACCTAACACCTCTGATGCTCACTGCAAAAGACTGCTGCTCATCTGAAAAGCTTTCAGTTTAGGATTCCAAAGAGCTAATTTACAAATCAAATCAAGGAATTGTGCTGAAAAGAAGTCCTGCTTTCCTGTCCTGATTAAGCAGACAAAACACAAAGCAGAGTCGCTTTGGTTAACCCTGCAGCCTTGCACAGGAATGTGGAGTGGCCTACAGAAGCACTTACAGCTTCAGTTATAAAACATTTGCTAATTAATGCAATGGTTATTACCAGTATCAGCATTTATTTAGACAAACATGTTACAATATTTAAGATACTAATTATTTTCCTCTGCTACAAACATGAAGTAATTCTCAGATACAACTGTATCATTATTAGATGTTTGTTTCTTTCTGCATTTTTGATAGAGATCCTTTACATCAGGGCTTTAAAAATGCATTCTGGCCTTTTGGAAGATAGTAAAGATTTCAGAACAGTTGTAAGTAGGTTCCTCACCCTTATTTAGGCCAGGTTGGATGGGGCTTTGAGCAATCTGCTCTAGTGGAAGGTGTCCCTGCCTGTGGCAGGGGTTTGGAACTAGATGAGCTCTAAGGTCCCTTCCAACCCAAACCATTCTGTGACTGCGTGTCTATGAAGCAATCACTAAATGGTGTATTCTCTCTCCAACAGAAAACACATCAAACGGCTTCACAAAACAGGTTTCACAAACAACTATCATTATTTCGAGTGCAATGTGCTACCATCATGCCTTTATTCAGTTCTAAACCACAAATGCTGCAGAACTATGCTAGCTATTGCACACCTCAGGATGCATTTCAGCCTCACCTACACCACCGCATTTCAATCGGGATGGAGCAAGATGAATGTTGGGCTGAGAGCTGGAAAAGCAGAACCCTCTAAAGCAGATGAATATTGCTGGATATAACCCTTAGCCAGCTATTCACTCCCACTGCCCGTGCTCCTTCCCCTTCCAGCCCTGCAGTTACAGGGATTTAAACTCAGAGCTCCTCTTCCCTAGGAAACACAGGGCTCCTATGGGCTCTGACCCTCTGCTACACATGCAGGGCCCCCTTGTAGGGACACAGCTCATGCCAGGAAAGAAAAAACAGGGAAAGGGAAAAAAAAAAAAAAACCAGAAAGAGGGTTTTATTATTTATTTCTTTTCCTGTCAGCCTAGGTTATGTCATTGAAGGAGGTGTAGCTGCAGCTCTGTTTGGCTCAGCTGCACCAGCAAGGTTCTGCCAGCAGCTGGGGTGGAAGTTTTCTTTCCATGCTCCCAGCCAGCAGAGCTACGTTAACAAAATTCAGCAGCACGAATCCGGTCCAAATCTTCTGGCATCCCGCACTTTCTCTTAGTTTTTGTACTTCTTGAGCCTCGCTTAAGGCCGAGGGTACTCAACGGGTGTACAGCTTAGTTGGAATGCTGTGTGCAACATCGCTGTTTCAACTGAATGCAGCTCCCACATTCCCAAGAAATTAAATAAACAGGGAAAAGACATCCTCAACTCTCAGAAGATAAAGGGGATGGCTTCCCCATGTACAAGAGCCTTGGCACAGTTAAGAAGCACAACACATCATCTTTCAATGTCCAAGTAAAAGAAGAACGAGAAAAGCTGTGACAGGCACAGGAAGTTAGAGGAAGTCTCAACCTTCTTCCTGACATCATCTCCTACATTATGCTCTGCAGAACAAAGTCTGACAAGAAACCCAAGGGGTTTTTCTTCTCTTCTCACATTATGCATCATTTAAGTGGCAAAAAAAAAAACTTTCATTAAATTCATCTCTAAGAACCCAGAAATGCCCGCACAAGATCAGATCAAGGGTCAAACAAAGGATTGTCTCCTTTGGTAGCCCAAAATGGATGTGTGAGGAAAGGACAAACATTGTTATTACCTGCCAAAATACAAAAGCATGTCTCACACATTTACAAGGACAGAGCACCAAAAAGCCTCCCAGTATATATCTATCAGGCAGGGGTCTCAGATACTGAACAATGCAAAAAGCTCCTGTTCTTACGGTAGTTGAGAACACATTGATTTCACACTTCCCTGACAATCTGTGTAACTGCAGATCACAAACCATCAGATTCATTTTCTACCTTTATTACTCAAACTCACCCCTGCAGTGCAGGTTAAACCAGGGTTTCATGGGGTTTTCTTGGTACAAAAAGGTGCCTAACACAGAACTGAAAATCAAACGAGGACCCTCCTTTCACAGAGTATCCCTTGTATGGTAACGGTCATAATAAGAACAGCAATGCACCATCGAGGCAGAGATGGACTAGGACATCCATGAGAAACGCGCCCAAACCAACACAATTCTCTATTCATTTTGCTCTGGTGGAGAGCATCTGCCAAACATCATTTGAAGCCAGGGCTGTCAAACCAATGACACACGCAGAATGCAGGAAATGACTTGTAAGTTGCCTGTAGACACGTTAAAGTATTCCATGGACGCAGCAGGCAGGCAAATCTTAAAAGGGCAAACATACAGACCCACAAATTGCATCTTACTGTACCCAGTTTGCGAAGGATCCTCTTGCATTCATCTCTGCTGAGGTCCAATAGAGTTGGCCACACCACTGGCATCGTGCCCTCCTGTTTGCGCTCCCAGAGAGCTCAGCCTCGCTAGAAAAAGGAATATAAATACAGCAAGAGCAAGTCTGTCACTTATTAACTTCCCAGACTTGATTGATGCAAACTCTCCCGAGCCTGCTCACAACTCCACCGGCACATTCCCTCTCATCCCCACACTCCAACCTTTGTAATGGACCGCTTTGCCATGCAGGAATCCGGCGCTTTCACAAGGGCACGGACCTCCTATATTCCCTAGCTCAGCTCCATCACCCGAGCCTTTTTACCGAGTTTCCCACCTCCTTCTCAAGCCCTTTTTCACGCCGAAACGCTCTCCGAATCGATGCTCCAGTCTCCTCCCTCTCTTTATGCACAGAGCACCTATTATAAGAACTCTTCCACAGCTAACCGCACGCTCCCCCTTCCCCCCGGGGGACGCATTTAGCACCAGCCCATTATATGACAGAACGGCAAAAAAAAAAAAACAACACCGTGAAAAATCGCTTTCCAACACTAACCCCTCCCTCCAGAAACCGACCCCAAACCAAAACACGGGAACACCCCCTGGCCCCATCGCATCGCGGCGACATCCCGGGGGTGGCGGGGGAAGAAGCCGCATCTCCCCGTCGCAACGAGGATAATAAAGGGGAAAAGAGGAGCCGGAGGCGAGCAGGCTGGGGCAGGGAACGGCACACAGCGAAGAGAGGGGGGGGGTGGGCACGGGGAACAAAAGCCCCGGCGCGGGGTTAGACGGAGGGAGGCTCATCTCTGTACGAGGAGGCAGACGGCGCCTGGAGGCTCCCCGCCAGCCCTTCCCCGGTGCCCCCCATGGCCCTCGGCAGCGGCGCTGGATCCCCCCCGCGCTCGGAAGCCGGGAAGGAGCGAGCGGGCGGGCGGGCGGCGGCCGCGGGAGGGGCAGCGCCAGCGGCCTGCAGGCGGGGGCCGGGGCGCGGGTCCCCGCCGTCGGGGGAAGCGGAGCTGCCCGTCTCCGCTGCCGGGGAGCGCCCCCGGGGCACGGCGAGGAGGAGCTGCCGGGGAGCGGGACCCACCTGCTCGGCCGTGCCCGGCACATCGAATGGCTCCTCGGCGGCAAGGCCCCTCCTCCCCTCCCGGTGCCGCGCTCCGGTTTGTTTAGTGGTGGTGGCGGCGGCGGTCCCGGAGCCAAGATGGCGGCGGGACGCAGGGCGCATGCGTGAGAGCCGCGGAGCACGCCGGGAGTTGTAGTCCCAGCGCTGCCTGCAAGCGAGGAGATGGATGAAACGGTTTGGCAAGATGGCACCGGGAGTGCGCGGAGCGCATGCGCAGAGGCGAGGAGCACGCTGGGAGTTGTAGTCATGGGGGAAGAGGGGAGGGTGTCCCGCCATAGCTCCACCGCGGGTACGGGCGCCGGGAGTGGACAAACGCCCTCCGGCGCGCTCCGCCGCGGTGTGCTCTAAAGACGTCGCACACACCCCTCAACTGAAGGAATTAAGGGCTTGACGCCGGTTGTGAGGAGGAACGTGCGGGGTGACATCATCCCTGACGGCATCGGGCTGTTCCCGGCTTTACGGGTTAAGAGCGGCCGTGGTTACGTGCGGGCTGTTGTCAAACACGGTCCGTGCGCGCAACACGGTTGTAAAACACGCCCCAAAGCCGCGCGCACACCCGCTCCGGGCTGGGGTCCTCAGCGGTGTGATCCTGTCATCGTCCAGCTTCAGCTGCCGAAAGCCCTGGGCCTCGCGGCTCCTTTGTGTCTAGCTGCGGTTGTAACTTTGTACCGTGAGATAAGCAGCGAATTGCATCTCTTTTAAAGGGCTTAGATCAGATTAGAAACAAATCGGAGCATCTCTGGAGCGCGATGATGAGAAGCAGTGGGACAAGGGAGGATGCGTTTAAACTGAAATGGGCAGAAGCTCTTCCCTGTGAGGGTGTTGAAGCGCTGGCACAGGGTGCCCAGAGAAGCTGTGGCTGCCCCATCCCTGGCAGTGTTCAAGGCCAGGTTGGACACAGGGGCTTGGAGCAAGCTGCTCTAGTGGAAGGGGTCCCTGCCCGTGGCAGGGGTTGGAGCTGGAGGAGCTTTAAGGTCCCTTAAATGGGGTGAGGCATCCATATTGCTTGATACAGCAGTCCTGTTCTCTGCAAGTGCAAAATGAATACATAATATAATTTGATAGTATAATCTAGAATCACAGAACAGTTTGGGTTGGAAAGGACCTTAAGATCATCCAGTTCCAACCCCCTGCCATGGGCAGGGACACCTCACACTAAACCATGGCACCCAAGGCTCTGTCCAGCCTGGCCTTGAACACTGCCAGGGATGGAGCATTCACAGCCTCCCTGGGCAACACATTCCAGTGCCTCACCACCCTAACAGGAAAGAATTTCCTCCTTATACCCAATCTAAACTTCCCCTGTTTCAGTTTGAACCCATCACCCCTTCTATCACTACAGTCCCTGATGAAGAGTCCCTCCCCAGCATCGTTGTAGCCCCCTTCGGACCCTCAAGCTGCTCTGAGGTCTCCATGCAGCTCCTCTTCTCCAGGCTGAACAGCCCCAACTTTCTCAGCCTATCTTCAATATAATTATAATATAATATAATGTAATAATGCTAGTACAAACCTTGATCTCATTACACAATGTTAGGGAAAGGTCTTCTCATTAGATATATATTGTTCAAGCCATCTTTGAGTCATTTCTTTGTTGAGCCCGTTGAGACTGAGAGTCTTCTTGCATGCCTTTTGATTCTGCAAAGCAAACAGACACCCTGGGGCTGGAGAGTTCAATGAAGAGGAGGGAAACACTCCTCCTTATTCCACTCTCTCTCAGAAAACCCCGTTATAGTTTGCTTTCATAACACCAGAACCAGCTGGACATTGGCTGAGGGGAAGCCAAGGCAGATGGATGGGATGCATCGAATCACAACACCTATTCCCAGATCTGTGAGTGCTGCTATTTCCACCCAACTATAGATAGAAATAGTCCTTCAATGCGATCACTGATGGACACATCCTCACTTGTAGTTTCCCATTGTTCTTCACAGCGGTGTATATAACCCAAGCACTTGAAAACAATGATGCTGTGGGACAGCTACAACAATTTTCCTTCCTATTTGAATGCCTTCCTAAACAAGAACCAGCTGAAGGCAAATAGCATCATCTCTGCATTGTACTACTTCATATATGTGCTAAGCTTGGCACAAACCTGAGGATGATGCAGACCAGGTTAGGACCACAAGCTGGAGTCTTCCTTTGCAGACCAAAGACTCCACTGCAAACCCATCTCAAATGTGCCTGTGTGTTGGATTGCTCTGATCAATAGGCACAAGCAGGACTGACCCTGCTGCTCACCAGAATAAAATAGCCTTGTTGAGGTTTATTCATCAGTTGTAACTGATGCTCCAGCAGGGCATCGGTTTTATTGCCTCTGATGGGCTTAAGAGCTGACCCTTATGTTTGTAGAATAAATCATTCCACAAGCAAGAAAACACCAAACCCTCTATTATTAAGCAAATTTATCCACTAAGGTGTAGATTTTAGCTGCGTATTTCAACTTGGTTTGTTTATTAATGCACCCTGTTCTCATACACGCTCCCCAGTGAAATCTCTGCTAACAACACAGCTCAGAGAGAGCACAAATACATTATCTCAGCCTGCTCAGAGCCATATTCATTAAACTTCATTACATCAATTTGGTCCTTTTCTTTAGATCTTTAATTTTTTATTCCAAACGTGGATGGAATTCACCAACAGGATCCAAAGTTATTATGGGCAGAGTGGCTTGACACACATGCATACATATGTATGTACTCAAGGAAATAGTATACGCTTCATTTCCTTCGGCATGCAGAACAGAAGAGAGACGTAAAAACCAAGCCAGTTATGTATGAAGTGTCTGAAGCTGTGATAGCTGTGATTCTAAAGATGATTTACATGAATACTTCTTGGTTTTATTAAAAAGAAGACCTATAGCTAGGAACATGCAATAAGTCCAGAAAGTCTGAAGGCCAAATTGTGCTTGTAGTTACGGCAGCAACATCGCAATTTAGCTCAGACTAACCTACAATCAATTCTCCATTACCCATGAATACAGGAGGGCTGGGATACCGTGAGCAAAGGAAAAATCCACCCAAAGCACACAAAAATCAGTTCTGTAAAGCTTAAGTAACCTGAAGCATGGCCAGAGCTCTGCAGTAGTTGATCAACTTGGATGGATCCCTTGCAGAGGAGCAGATGCTGAGATTTGGATTTAGATTTAGATTCAGATTTGAATTTGGATTTAGATTTGGATTTAGATTTGGATTTGGATTTAGATTTAGACTGAGCTGAGCTCTTAGGCAGAAGCTCTTCCCTGTGAGGGTGCTGAGGCGCTGGCACAGGGTGCCCAGAGAAGCTGTGGCTGCCCCATCCCTGGCAGTGTTCAAGGCCAGGTTGGACACAGGGGCTTGGAGCAAGCTGCCCTAGTGGAAGGGGTCCCTGAGTCAAGTTCCTCCGTGCCATAAAAATCACTGCTCTGTTTGATGTACAGCACTAACAAGTCCCAGGGGAAACATTGATCTTTCTGTAAGACTAAATTAAGGTTATCTGGACTCAGAATGACTTCACGCAGCTAGCTTGGATCATCTAGCTTAATCAAGGGAGGTCACCTGAAGGAGCCTGAGACTTAACAGCATTTATTTATGTGTGAGGAACAAAATGTCAAGAGTGTTCCAATTATAGGCTAAAAAAAAACATGAGAATAAAGCCAATACGGTTTGGTCTTATTTCTTTAATACAGAAATACGGCTGAATTTCCCACATATTCTCAGTAAATTCATATAAAATGAAGGAATTCAGTGTGGATAAAGGAAGAAAACACAGAATAGGAAAATGCCAGCACTTTTTCTAGCTTCAGTTGCCTATTAGGTGCTAATCACTTTCTTAGTTCTCATTACCTGCATCTTCAGTCTCTGAGTCATCACTTAATGAGGCCCAAAATTACAGAGCACTTTCTGACTGTTCACAAAGTAAACCAAGAGACAAACTTCCCAAGAGCTGCAGTGTTTCATGGTCTTTCCTAAGGAGGCAATGCTCAACAGTGTGAAAATCCCATGGGGTCAAAGGAGTTTGTAATAATCCATTTTCTCTGGCAGTCAAGGGGAGCTAAGAAGACACATAATTAAAACTGAAATCACTGATTTTCTGTACCTTGGTCATATTAGGCTCATACTTTAGATGTAAATGTGTTAACAGCAGCTCACCATTAGCATTCCTATCACAGCCAGCAGAGATGAAACTGGGACTCATCAGGACACAAAGTACTCTTCATCTGATGGTGACTTGGGGAGCAATACTGCATGACTTGTATCACCTCTCCAGGCCTCCATTTTCCACTTATATAAAGCATTTAAAACCTAATGACGGTGATATACAAAAGCCACACATTGTTATTTATAACAGCATACTGCTGGGTGTTTTCCTTAAGGATCATAGAATCCCAGGTTGGACGGGACCTCAAGG